AAATGTTCTCCTGGCATCTGCCAAACCCAGATTCGTTCGTCGGACTGCCAGATGGTGAAGCGTGATTTATCACTCCAGAGAACGCGTTTCCACTGCTCCAGAGTCAAATGGCTGCAAGCTTTACACCACTCCAGTCGATGCTTGGCATTGCACATGGTGATCTTAGGCTTGTGTGTGGCTGCTCTGCCATGGAAACTCATTTCATGAAGCTCCAGACGAACAGTTCTTGTGCTGACGTTGCTTCCAGAGGCAGTTGGAACTCGGTAGTGAGTGTTGCAACCGAGGACAGGCGATTTTTACGTGCTACGCGCTTCTGCACTCGGCAGTCCCATTCTGTGAGCTTGTGTGGCCTACCACTTCGCATCTGAGCCGTTGTTGCTCCTAGACGTTTTCACTTAACAACAAAAGCACTTGCAGTTGATTGGGGCAGCTCTAGCAGGGCAGAAATTTGACGAACTGACTTGTTGGAAAAGTGGCATCATATGATGGAGCTACGTTGAAAGTCAGTGAGTTCTTCAGTACGGGCCATTCTACAGCCAATGTTTATCTATGGAGATTGCATTGCTGTGTGCTTAATTTTATACACCTGTCGGCAACGGGTGTGGCTGAAATAGCCAAATCCACTAATTTGAAGGGGTGTCCACATACTTTTGGTGATGTAGTGTATTTTAATCTTAATTCGTAGCAAATATTTAAGAGTTTTTGGAAAATGTGGTCGCATAAAAGCAATAGGGTCTCTATGCTGCCACCTATTGATATGTCATCGCTCAGTGCAGCGCATCTCTCAGGAAAAGTGGGGGTGTCGAAAGGAGTGCGCATTTCGAAAGGAACAATGTGGGGGTTTCGAAAGGAACCATGTAAGGAGAGGTGGGGGTTTCGAAAGGAACCATGTAAGGAGAGGTGGGGGGTTTCGAAAGGAACCATGTAAGGAGAGGTGGGGGGTTTCGAAAGGAACCATGTAAGGAGAGGTGGGGGGTTTCGAAAGGAACCATGTAAGGAGAGGTGGGGGGTTTCGAAAGGAACCATGTAAGGAGAGGTGGGGGGTTTCGAAAGGAACCATGTAAGGAGAGGTGGGGGGTTTCGAAAGGAACCATGTAAGGAGAGGTGGGGGTTTCGAAAGGAACCATGTAAGGAGAGGTGGGGGGTTTCGAAAGGAACCATGTAAAGAGAGGTGGGGGGTTTCGAAAGGAACCATGTAAGGAGAGGTGGGGGTTTCGAAAGGAACCATGTAAGGAGAGGTGGGGGTTTCGAAAGGAGTCTTAACACTAGAAGCGCTGGAATTCCATAACTACTAGAACCGCCATGACTTGATATTTCTATTATTATTATTTCAAATATTCAATAATAAATAATACATTGTAAAATTTAATAATTTTAGCTAGCATTTACAATTACAATAAACTTAATGTTACATACATTGCTACCGGTAGGTAACGTTCAAAGACACAGGTCACAGTGAGTGAATAGACATACATTCTTTTTTTTTGCATAACTGAAATTCCTTACTGTCAACTCTACAGACCATGACTAACAGCCGATAACCCAAACGATGTCTTGAGTGGTACCTTTCGAAACCCCCACTTTTCCTTATGATTCCTTTCGAAGCACCCACTCCTTTCGACACCCCCACTTTTCCTGAGCGATGACATATCAGTAGGTGGCAGCATGGAGACCCTGAGGAATGACTGCTCTGAGAGGTCGCAGCTGGACCCTTCTCAATAAAAGGGAGATGTTACCGTAATTCCGTTACCAAAGTTTGCATCTGCACAGTTCTAGTGTTGTCACGATACCAGTATTGCGATTAATATATGCCATTTAGCAGACGCTCTTATCCAAGGCGACTTACAATCATGCGTGCATACATTTTACGAATGGGTGGTCCCGGGAATCAAACCCACTGCCCTGGCATTACAAGCGCCATGCTCTACCAACTGACTTACAAAGGACCACTACGATACCAGATTTTTCTTGGCAAAAAAGAAAACATGAAGCAGACTCAACTCTATGTTCCTGTAATTTTTTCATTACTGGCCCACTGTACCAATTCCTATGTTAAAATTCCTCCAGTTCCCTATCGTTGAGACTCAGATTTATCACTTTGGAAGCATGCATTACGTCCACACAGGCCTACAGTGCCTTCAGAAAGTATTCATACCCCGTGACTTATTCCACAATGTGTACAGCCTGAATTCAAAACACAATACCCCATAATGACAAAGTGAAAACGTCTTTAGACATTTTTGCAAATGTATTGAAAATGAAATACAGAAATCTCATTTTATATTAGTATTCACAACCCTGAATCAATACTTTATAGAAGCACCTTTGGCAGCGATTACAGCTCTTAGTCTTTCTGGGTAAGTCTCTAAGAGCTTTCCACACCTGGATTGTGCAACATTTGCCCATTTTTATTATTTTCAAAGTTCTTCAAGCTCTGTGAAATTGGTTGTTGATCATTGCTAGATAATCACTTTTAGGTCTTGCCGTAGATTTTAAGTCAAAACTGTAACTCTGCCACTCAGGAACATTCACTTGGTAAGCAACTACAGTGTAGATTCGGCCTTGTGTTTTAGGTTATTATCCTGCTGAAAGGTGAATTCATCTCCCAGTGTCTTTTGGAAAGCAGACTAAACTAGGTTTTCCTCTAGGATTTTGCCTGTGCTTAGCTCCATTCCGTTTATTTTTTATCCTGAAAAACTCCCCAGTCCTTACTGATTACAAGCATACCCATAACATGATGCAGCCACCATTATGCTTGAAAATATGGAGAGTGGTACTCAGTAATGTGTTGTATTGGATTTGCCCCAAACATTTTGTATTCAGGACAAAAAGTAAATAGCTTTGCCAATTTTTTTTTGTTGCAGTATTACTTTCATGCCTTGTTGCAAACAGGATGCATGTTTTGGAATATTTTTTATTCTGAACAGGATTCCTTCTTTTCACTCCGTCAGTTAGGTTAGTATTGTGGAGTAACTACAATGTTGTTGATCCATCCTCAGTTTTCTCCTATCACAGCCATTAAACTCCGTAACTGTTACATCATTGGCCTCATGGTGAAATCCCTGAGCGGTTTCCTTCCTCTCTGGCAACTGAGTTAGAAAGGACGCCTGTGTCTTTGTAGTGACTGGGTGTATTGATACACCATCCAAAGTGTAATTAATAACTTCCCCATGCTCAAAGGGATATTCAATGTCCGGTTTATTTTTATTTTTATTTTTACCCATCTAGTCATTGGAAAACCTCCTTGGTCTTTGTGGTTTGAAATTCACTGCTCGACTGAGGGACCTTACAGATAGCACATTTTTACTCCTGAACTTATTTAGGCTTACCATAACAAAGGGGTTGAATACTTATTGACTCAAGACATTTCAGCTTTTAATTTTTAATAATAATAATCTAAAAACACAATTCCACTTTGACATTATGAGGTATTGTGTGTAGGCCAGTGACAAAACAATCTAAAGATAATCCATTTTAAATTCAGGCAGTAACACAACAAAATGTGCAAAAGTCCAGGGGTGTGAATACGTTCTGAAGGCACTGTAGTTTTCTCACCAGCTACGACGTGTAGGTTACTGCTGAGATGCTAGTGAGGGGAGTAAGCATTAAGACTGGAGAAATCCTGTTTACAGTATCTGCAATGTTGCTGTGGGAGGATTGATATGACATCCGTTATTTCTGTTGAGTATTTTTGCTTTGAATGAAGGAAAATGTGTCATTTGAGTGACTTTTTTTATTTATTACTTGTTCTTGTGAACCCAGAAGACTAGGCCTAGCAGCAATTGAAATGAAAGAACAGCTCTCATATGTTATACATTCGTTCTGCTTCTGATAAGCAGATTTACTAAAATAGCAACTTTAAACATTCTTGGCAGACTGAGTTTGATCATTGTCATACACTTGCAAAATGGCAAAAATGCCTTTAGTAGTGGAGGACGATAACATCCTTTTAAGGGTACGGCTAGAGCAGCAAAAAGATCCCAGAACAAGTCCAGTAACCTCGGATGGTTTGATTTCAGAGTTGTTTTCATTTGGGATTGGATGGGGGATGGGAATCTCACAAGAGGTTGAATTAAGAATAGCATTCTTCTCCCAGAGTTTAATAGCATCTCTAACTCAAGAAAAGGGGAGGACAGCAGAATAATCCAAAGACATCACCTAGTTACAACCAGCTCATCGAGTATGCTCAATAGACCTGTGCATGCTGGGAAAATCAGGGGTCCTTAACCAGTGCTGGATGCTTCAAAGCACTAGTGCCATGTGAAAGGTCATCCTCTCCTCACTCAGTCATAATTTAAATCAAAGGGCTGCTTCCTATGATCATTACTATGGGGTTCTTATGTTTCCTTTTGTTCCTGTTCATGCTCCCTTGTTTGTTTTGAATCCCAGTCTTGAACTTTGGCTTTATCTTGGCTTAATCTCATATAATTGGACAATCCATCCCTATTAGAGCCATTATTTGTAGGCTTGTCAGACGAGAGGTGGGTTAGGGCCCCTGTCATGTGTGTCTAAGTAGATTGACCTTGTGTAAAGTAATGCTTTTGTCTTAGTAGTTGAAAAAAGTTGGAGGAAATGTCAGAGGAATGTGATAAAATAGATTAGGCTCATTATCCCCCTCATGACAACACAACTGTGTTCTGTTTAAATGAGTGTAATGGGGATTAAAAACACGCACACACAGATTTCTTATACTTCAGGGGTGCATAAAACACCATATTTTCAATACAGATACTACCAATAGCTGAAACTCTTAATATTTTTGGCTTTTCTGGCTTGTTATTCGTGTCCTGTGAACCATAAGCTTGTACTGTATATTCTAAACTACAGAAAAGTACAAATATTATTAGCTGGCACCAAAACACACTATTTTCTCAGTCTGCCTGCTGAGAAGGTATTTTGGTGTTTCTGTCCTCTTAGGGCTGTAAAGGGTTGCCAAGCAGTTGTCGAAAATGTGAAACCTTCATCGAGGAGTCCCCCACAGAGTTCACAGTGAAGAGACAATGATGGATCGGAACAAGCGCAACTCCATTGCTGGCTTCCCCTCCATGAGGCCAGACCGTCTTGATGACCTGGATGGTGGAGGTGGAGGGGAATGGGCTCTGTCTCAGGTGGGAAGAGTGTGCCCCTCGTCCTACCGCGCCCTCATCAGTGCCTTCTCCTGCCTGACGCGTCTTGATGACTTCATCTGCGAGTGGATTGGCTCCGGCTTCTTCTCAGAGGTCTACAAGGTGGGTCTACGTTATGATTGACCTGAAATGCAATAGTTCTTTATGGTAGGTAGGTGGTACTGGTAGGTACTAGGTAAATAGTAGATTGTCTGAGGACCATTCATTCATATCAACATATGGTTTAGGCTAGGCTAGCAGAAAGCTGTAAAGCAATGGTGTGTCATCACCAGGATGATTTAGAACGCTATGATCTCATACACTGAGTTGTGGAGATATCTCTCAGCCCTCATTCTATTATTAAACCTCAGTGTGTGGTATAGAATACAGTTAGCTAACACATTGAGCGAGTGACACTGGGAGCATGAGGGGGAGACGAGAGACAGCAACCAACTAATAGCTGCCATAGCTAGGTTATTTATCATCAAATAGGATTACGTAGTACCTGTCTTGACTGCATCAAACTGGGAGAACCTAGTTAAGCTAGCTAATGTTTGGGTATGTACAGGCCCTTCCGGATAAGTCAGTTAAAATGACACATACCTGTGACAATCAGATCTGACCCAGATTGGGTCTCGGGTATTCGGGTACAGGTGGATCCGTGAACACCTCTAGCCGCTTCCTATTACATTGATCTAGCCTATTCTCTCACAATCGACTGATTTGGGACGGGCGGAATGCCCTTCTATATTTTCATGTCGTAATCAGAGCGACATGGAAATATAGAAGGGCTTTTCGCACTGAAGAGGTTTATGATAGTGATTAGACGTTAGGCTACAATGGCTGTCTAAGTGCTATATTGTCAATTACACTAAGTCAGCCTGACATGGTTGGTACTTGTACATAGATTGCTGTTGAGGTTAGATGTTCAAGTCCTTTGCTGACATTTTGAGGTCATGTTAGCTACGTTCACTTTTGGTGTAACCCACATTGTAATTTCCTACATCCGGTCTCAGCGCTCATTAAAGTTATTTTCATTTTTACTTTCAATGAGGGACTTTCAATTAGTTATAGGCTATTGACTTCAGCTTCACCTACTGAAAAGTCAGGGTATTCTTTTTTGATGTTGTCACAACCACCACAATAATGTCAGCACTTTCTATCTCATGCCTCCGTCTTAGTCATACTATTTCCATTCCATCTGTATGTATGAGTCATGCATACAGATAGAATGGAAATAGAATTCAGAGCAGTTCTTGGATCAAGCATGAAACTATCCGAATTACAGAAAGGAGTAGAAGTGTTGCTATGTCTGGAGCCGTGATGTACAGTAATCTAATGCCTGCTTCAGAGCATGGCCATAGTGGTCTGCCTTGGAAATGCTCATTGGATTCAAAGGGTTAATGCATAGCACCCAATGCTGACTTGGTGGGGGAAGGGCAACGTGTAGGGTCCTGCCCCAGTCTGTCTGAGGGGAAGTCATCACACCATGTATTTTAGGGAGGGAATGCCCATCTAACCTGAACATGACTGGGGCCTTCTGCCCTACAAATAGTCCTTGTTGAACAAACCCTAAAGAAAAAGCTTCCTTTATTTAAACACATTCTTTTAAAGGTGCTGTTTAATCCTTAGGGCCATGATATTGTTATATTGCAGCTGATTCCAGTCTTTTTCACTCGAGATTCAATGCAGACAAGAACTATGGCTCAAGTCAAAATGATGACTTCAGCTTTATTAGTACAATATTTACCCTCGTTGCTTGTCAATTGTTTGTCGTCTCACTGACACCACACTTGCATCTGTAAATGCTTAACGGACCCAAATATTTACTGTGTAATGAGAGTTCCATATTTGTCCAAGCAAGGGGACGAAAGATCTACATTACGTTTTCTTTTTTTAAATCATGAAATCAATGGAATTATCTGTTTGTCTTAGACTGTGTGTCCTGTCTACAGGGCTAGGTATTGAGGAGGCTAGCTGGATTGATGAAACAGATTGGAGGTGCAGGGTCTTGCTGGGGCAGCATTATGGGTCTTTGTTTGAGCCAGGCTGTTCTCGCTCTCTCTCCTGGTGGGCAGAGGGTGGGAGTGGGGGAGGTGGTCTAGAGGAGGCCATCTGCTCCTCTCCTACAGGGAAGAGGAAGACTAGCTGCACCTTTGTACTTGAACTTCAAGAGTGGCTAAAGAACCACTATAAACTGGAGACTCATCCAAGTGCTATATAAGACTAGATTGGTCTGCTTCCCTTTTCTGTACCTCAAACTTCCTTTTATCTCCGCTCTCCAACAACGTTGATAAACCCCTCATATCGATCTGAAAAGGATCATAGAGAGATTGAGACAAGGACAGCAAATGAAACCTATAAACTAGCTATATAACCAGATATGCATTGTATCTGTTACTGTACTCGCAGACCGACCTGAGAGACTTAGTATCTTCTTAGTCACTGGTTTCAGTGTCTTAATATTTCAGCTGGAGGAAGTGTGCAGTAGCAGATACAGCTTATTTTCTCACCCTGACTCATAACTTCCTGTGTTTTTTATGGCCCTGAGAAAGCAAATAAATCTGATCTTAGGGAAGTACAGAGTTTGTTCTGTATTGTTGTAGTTGTTAGGACAGTATTCTGCCTTCTCTGCCAATAAAAGGGGTACATTTTAGGTAGTTGTGATAGGGTAACACCTAGGTTACACATTACAACATTCATAGTCTTGACCTCAGCTCAGTATTCTTTCAAGTGCACCACTGTGTGGATGACAGACAGCCACTCATCTTTGATCACAACAGAGAACATGCTGCAAGGAAGGCCAGTGACTGACCTAATTCAAAGTAGAAATAGATTAGGTTGACTCCCCATTGTTATGGTTCTGGATTTGGAATGACATTCATTTTGCTGCAGAAATAGAGCAAACCATTCTCCACGATCTTGGAATAACGATAATGTTTAGGGAAAAGTGTCCCCATGATAAGGGAATATTGATAAGGGAACGTTAGTGTTAAAGAGAAGCGTTCAGATAATGCCTAAATGACCGGATTGTTGTGTTCGTTGCAGGTACGCCACAGAGTGTCGGGCCAGGTGATGGCTCTGAAGATGAACAAACTGAGCAGTAACCGAGCCAACATGCTGAGAGAGGTCCAACTGATGAACAGACTGTCCCATCCCAATATCCTCAGGTGACCTCCAGGAAACAAAACACCTGTCTACCACTACATTTTGGACAGTTAATTTTTTTGGCATGCCACCATCCTCAATATTTTGTATAGTTTGAATATCAATCTGTCCTTTTGAAGAAACATAGAAATAAAATGCCTTCTGCGATATTATACAATTATTTTTAATTAAGTATTGTTCAGTTACTGATTAAATTATCCCAGCTTTTTAATAACAATCTCAAGGGGCTATAAAAAACATGGGTAAAATACAGGGCTAGCAAAGTTCAGTTATGGTGCCTTATTCATAAATGGGGTCATTTCTTACTGACTAATAGCATAATCCCTTTTTTTTCTAGAAAGTCACTTAGTATCACAGTCATTTGTGAACCCTTCATCTTTTAAAGAGACTTTGATCTGTAAATTTCTGTCAAAATGACATTAGCCTCCGCTTTGTAATGGAATCAGTGGGCCCTGTGTAGCTCAGTTGGTAGAGCATGGCGCTTGCAACGCCAGGGTTGTGGGTTCGTTTCCCACGGGGGGCCAGTATGGAAATGTATGCACTCACTAACTGTAAGTCGCTCTGGATAAGAGCGTCTGCTAAATGACTAAAATGTAAAATGTAAATGTAATATATAAATAATATTATAAACCGGGTGGTTTGAGTGCTGATTGGCTGAAAGCCGTGGTATATCAGACAGTATACCATAGGTATGACAAAACATTACTATTTATTGGTCTAATTACGTTGTTAACCAGTTTATAATAACAATAAGACACCTCAGGGGTTTGTGATATATGGCCAATATACCACGGCTAAGGGCTGTATCCAGGCATTGCGTTGTGCATAATGGCCATATATAACACCTCCTCTTGCTTTATGGCTTAAATAATGCCATTTAGCAGACTCTTTTATCCAAAGCGACTTACAGTAATGCTTGCATACATTTTACATATGGGGTGTGACCTTGATCTCCCCTGTTCCACAGAATTGAACAATGGATTTTCTGGAACAACATCCTGAGTTTGGATTTCATTGACATGCACACCCTTCTGAGGAACCAACCATTCCTTTTTCACTTTCTTCTCACCAAAGCTGTTTATTTTCGTATAAAGTTGTGAGCCTGCAAAATGGGCATGCACACATATTTGACCAAACCCATCATGATAGAACAAATTGTTTTGGATACATTATTGTATGACATTGTTTTATGTTGTCATGGACAATAATAATGAACTATCTGTGAATTTCCTATCCTCAAATAGATTAGGCTGACTGAGGCTTTGCATGATATTCTACAGAGCTCACATTCTGCTGTAGGTGGTGGGTAGGAAAGCGCGATGGTCTGTGTGTGCTGTGTTACAATCACAGCTTTGTTGCAGTTAGTTCTGTGGTGGTGGGCTGATGACAATTCTGAGGGGTCTTTGTCTGAGAAACCCTTTCGGGGACCCACAAAGTTGTCTCGCATTTATTGGGTCATAACTCAGGGCCACCAACACTCGCTGTGCGTACAGCCTGGCTCGTGTGTTAGGATATTCATACAGCCAGTTTGTCATTTAGAAAAACAGACTGCCTTGACTGGGACTCCTGCCTGTTAAGATTTGGAAGCAGTGGCTCAAAAAAAGAGGGAGAGAAAAAGAGATTGGAATGCAGGTCAAGAGAGTGAGCCTTGTTTTCCCCTAGAAAATGACTTTCTTGTTTGCACCGCTCTTGTTGGGTCTTGTCTTGCAGTGCAGAAATATGCTGTCGTCCTTGGGCCAGATTATGACTTTTTTGCACTGCATATAGGCCCACTCAAATGTTAAACTCTGGACCCCCATAACTTAGCTTTGTCATGTCAATATACAGTGGGGGAAAAAAGTATTTAGTCAGCCACCAATTGTGCAAGTTCTCCCACTTAAAAAGATGAGAGAGGCCTGTAATTTTCATCATAGGTACACGTCAACTATGACAGACAAATTGAGAAAAAAAATCCAGAAAATCACATTGTAGGATTTTTTATGAATTTATTTGCAAATTATGGTGGAAAATAAGTATTTGGTCACCTACAAACAAGCAAGATTTCTGGCTCTCACAGACCTGTAACTTCTTCTTTAAGAGGCTCCTCTGTCCTCCACTCGTTACCTGTATTAATGGCACCTGTTTGAACTTGTTATCAGTATAATAGACACCTGTCCACAACCTCAAACAGTCACACTCCAAACTCCACTATGGCCAAGACCAAAGAGCTGTCAAAGGACACCAGAAACAAAATTAAAGACCTGCACCAGGCTGGGAAGACTGAATCTGCAATAGGTAAGCAGCTTGGTTTGAAGAAATCAACTGTGGGAGCAATTATTAGGAAATGGAAGACATACAAGACCACTGATAATCTCCCTCGATCTGGGGCTCCACGCAAGATCTCACCCCGTGGGGTCAAAATGATCACAAGAACGGTGAGCAAAAATCCCAGAACCACACGGGGGGACCTAGTGAATGACCTGCAGAGAGCTGGGACCAAAGTAACAAAGTCTACCATTAGTAACACACTACGCCACCAGGGACTCAAATCCTGCAGTGCCAGACGTGTCCCCCTGCTTAAGCCAGTACATGTCCAGGCCCGTCTGAAGTTTGCTAGAGAGCATTTGGATGATCCAGAAGAGGATTGGGAGAATGTCATATGGTCAGATGAAACCAAAATATAACTTTTTGGTAAAAACTCAACTCGTCGTGTTTGGAGGACAAAGAATGCTGAGTTGCATCCAAAGAACACCATACCTACTGTGAAGCATGGGGGTGGAAACATCATGCTTTGGGGCTGTTTTTCTGCAAAGGGACCAGGACGACTGATCCGTGTAAAGGAAAGAATGAATGGGGCCATGTATCGTGAGATTTTGAGTGAAAACCTCCTTCCATCAGCAAGGGCATTGAAGATGAAACGTGGCTGGGTCTTTCAGCATGACAATGATCCCAAACACACCGCCCTGGCAACGAAGGAGTGGCTTTGTAAGAAGCATTTCAAGGTCCTGGAGTGGCCTAGCCAGTCTCCAGATCTCAACCCCATAGAAAATCTTTGGAGGGAGTTGAAAGTCCGTGTTGCCCAGCGACAGCCCCAAAACATCACTGCTCTAGAGGAGATCTGCATGGAGGAATGGGCCAAAATACCAGCAACAGTGTGTGTGAACCTTGTGAAAACTTACAGAAAACGTTTGACCTGTGTCATTGCCAACAAAGGGTATATAACAAAGTATTGAGAAACTTTTGTTATTGACCAAATACTTATTTTCCACCATAATTTGCAAATAAATTCATTAAAAATCCTACAATGTGATTTTCTGGATTTTTTTTCCCTCATTTTGTCTGTCATAGTTGACGTGTACCTATGATGAAAATTACAGGCCTCTCTCATATTTTTAAGTTGGAGAACTTGCACAATTGGTGGCTGACTAAATCCTTTTTTTCCCCACTGTAGATCAAGATGCTAAAATAAATTGTAGAGATGAGCACAACAGGCGATCCCTAAATATGCATCCACCACATGTATCTCTCATGGTATTTTGTGGTAAATATACTGAACAAAAATATAAACGCAACATGCAACAATTACAATGATTTTCCTGAGTTACAGTTCATATAAGGAAATCAGTCAATTGAAATAAATTCTAATCTATGGATTTCACATGACTGGGCAGGGGTGCAGCCATGGGTGGGCCTGGGAGGGCATAGGCCCACCCACTGGGGAGCTAGGCTCAGCCAATCAGAATGAGTTTTTCCCCACAAAAGGGCTTTATAGCAGACTGAAATAATTGTCAGTTTCATCAGCTGTCCGGGTAGCTGGTCTCAGACGGTCCCACAGGTGAAGAAGCCAGAAGTGGATGTCCTGGGCTGGTGTGGTTACACGTGGTCTGCTGTTGTGAGGCCAGTTGGACATACTTCCAAATTCTCTAAAACGACGCTTATGTTAGAGAAATTAACATTACATTCTCTGGCAGCAGCTCTGATGGACATTCCTGCAGTCAGCATGCCAATTACACTCCCTCAAGTTGAGACATCTGTGGCATTGTGTTGTGTGACAACTGCACGTTTTAGTGTCCTTGTATTGTCCCCAGCACAAGGTGCACCTGTGTAATGATCATGCTGTTTAATCAGCTTCTTGATATGCCACACCTGTCAGGTGGATGGATTATCTTGGCAAAGGAGAAATGCTCAGTAACATGAATGTAAACACATTTGTGCACAACATTTGAGAGAAATATGCTTTTTGTGCGTATGGAACATTTCTAGGATCTTTTATTTCAGCTCATGAAATGTTCAGGATACATAGAAACAATAACTGACTGATGTTTTTGTCTTGCTATAGGTTCATGGGTGTGTGTGTTCAGGAAGGCCAACTCCATGCTCTGACTGAGGTAAGATGAACCACTGTTCTCCTTTGTGACTTACAGCCTTCTAATAGATGGCCTACACCTCAGAAACATGACTGTGCCGCTGGCTGTCATGTTTCAGGTTGGGACACTGTCTTCTTCTGTTTTTCATCCACTCTATGATGGAATGTGATTCTAGAAACATGATGGTTTCTCTAGCATCAGTATAGGCCTAAATGCTTTTTACTTGTAATGTAGCGAATACTGTCATATTGCTCATTGAGTCCTGTTGCAGTATGGTCAGTTTGTTATGTAATGTAAGACTCAGATAAGTATAACCCACTGAAAGGTGACATCATAGCCATGATTATAATGAAAAGAAATTGTGAATGTTTATCAGGGGTTTTTCTTCAGGTGAACACTAAACAGTAACGCATCGCCCAGAAGGACAGCAACCTGTAATTGAAAGAACCTTGAGTTTTTCTGCATAGTTTACATGTGAGCAAATAAAGCTGTGTTGATGTTCTCAATGAAAACCCAGGGGATGGGTTCTATTAGGGCTATGGGTTATGTTTTCAAGCTTGACTTATTTTTAACCTGTCTGTGTGACTGAGTCGGCATGTGCGTGTCCATGTAATCCAAATAGATAACCTTGTGCTAATGAAAAGCGTTGATTAGTAAGGGGGAAAAGCTTTACGACTGACTGCCCCATCTGAGCCCAAGCCCTCGTGTGAAGTGAATGATAGCAGGAAGTTATCCAATATGTGGATCCATGGAGATGAAGACTGGGAGAGAGGGAAATGTCTCACACAGCAGTCTCCTGGGGCTGTGGTGTCAGCAGCCTCGAGCCAGGCTGTGAATACTGAAAACACGGCATCATGGGGTTATGTTTTGCTGCTACTGCTGTATAAACAGAACTAGCCGCTAGCTACCAGCACTGTCTGCTCTGGCTGGATCCTGATCTTAGTGACGGGCCTGACGGGTCTCCATGGTAGGAAATGAAGAGTCACCGTGTACCGTGCAGCCACAGGCTTAGAGATCCAATCACTCCTCAGGGCTCTACAGTGCAACCATTTACTCCCATATGCGCCTAAATATTTTGCTTTGTGACCTGGAATTTTAATTTCGGAGCACCAGTATGCCTAGAAAAATGAAGGATTCTAGCTTAATTACCTCATATATTTCATTGTGTTCCTACATTTCTTTGTGTGTGCCTACATTTTTTAATTTAGAATCACACGTGCTCCTTGTAAATAAAAGGTCAGCGTAGAGCCCTGCTCCTCCGACCAAAACTCCCTTGGCCTCCGCTGGCCCCGCCAGGGCCCGTCAGGTCGGCACACTAACCTCTGCTCTGCTTCCCACTGCCTGATAGACCTAGATTACACATTAGGCAAAGACCGATTAGGAGCATTATAATCTGGGTAATCCATGAGCCACTGGGGGATTAGACCATTATTTGAAGCTGCTCGCAGTGGTCACAAGAGACAATGAATTCCCATTTTCTTTCTGTCTTTCTTAGCTTTAATTCAGGAAGGCTCAAGGAAAGCCTTATCTAAAGCTAAGTGTATCAGTTAATGATTTCAAAAAATTGCACCTGCCTAGAACAGTGTTTTCCATTGGTACTTGGGGTAGCCAGCCAAATAGAAAAAGTAGCCAGCCAGGGAGTTCCGGGGAAATTCTTTTTTGAGCTCTATTTTGGTTGCATATGGTACATTCTAATACCTTGATTCCATCTGAAATACACAGATAAACGATTTAATACTTTGGTATTGAGTAGAAAGACATGACTTTGCAATTAAAATTACTGAAATTGTATAAATTCAGTGTGTTAGTAGATGTGGGTATTGTCTAGGCCTAGGCTTCTATGATCAGGACTATATTCTAAGTATGATGACCTTCTTTAACATTAAACCTGTCTTCTCTTGAGATTCAAGTCATGTTTACAGTTTTACTGCAAGATATGAATTGCCACAATGATGTTTGTTAAAATTATGTATTTTGTCTGCTGCGGACATAAAGGTAATATGGGTGACCTATACCATTAACAGTTTGGCCTGTCAATCAATCACTGTGGGTGAGACATTGAAGGAAGGCAGCAGATTATTAATCTTGTCAGAAAAACTAGTCTAGTCTACCCTTTCAATTTAGTTTGTGGCAAAAATCTAAGAGAAAAGGTTGTGTTGTGTTCTGTCAAGTAAACATATATCGTTTTTTTTTATGCAAACATTGTCCGGTTTTGTTCACCTCCACTTTTCTACAAAGTCAGGCGCCCATGAATAGACCTACAGGTATGATTGAACAATGAAGCAGTTTGACATGGGCTTTGCTACACAGAACAAACTCAATCATCAAGTTTGCTGACTACACAACAGTGGTAGGCCTGATTACCAACAACGATGAGACTGCCTATAAGGAGGAGGTGATAACCCTAGCGGAGTGGTGCTAGGAAAATAACTTCTCCCTCAACGTCAACAAAATGAAGGAGCTGATCGTGGACTACAGGAAACGGCAGAGAGAGCAAACCCCCATCCATATCGAGGCCACAGTGGAGAGGGTCAAAAGCTTTAAGTTCCTCGGCATGCACATCACTGAGGACCTGACATGGTCTCTCCACACCACAGGAGACTAAAGAAATGTGGCTTGGCCCCTAGACTCTCACAAACTTCTACAGAGGCAACATTGAGAGCATTCTGTCAGGCTGTATCACCGCCTGGTACGATAACTGCACCGTCCGCAACCGCAGGGCTCTCCAGAGGGTGGTGCGGTCAGCCCAACGCATCACTGGGGCACACTGCCTGCCTTCCAGGACATCTACAGCACCCGGTGTCACAGGAAGGCCAAGAAGATCATCAAAGACCCCAGCCACCCGAGCCACGGCCTGTTCCTCCATCTAGAAGGAGGAGAGACAGTACAGGTGCATCAAAGCTGGGACCGAGAGACCTGATAAACAGCTTCTGTCTCCAGGCCATCAGACTGTTAAATATTCACCACTAGCCGGACTCCGCCCAGTACCCTGCCCTGAACCTTAGAGACTGCTGCCCTATGTACATAGTCATTGAACACTGGTCACTTTTAATCATGTTCACATACAGTTTTACCCACTTTATATATATAAACTTTATTCTAGTTATGGCTCATCCTATATAACTACTGCTGTACACCTTTTCTATTCATATGCTGTCTATACACACCATTATACACTCAGTGGCCAGTTCACGAAAACGGTTCAATCCTACAGACAGTGAGTCACGTAGCAATGGCTTGCTATATAAAGTAGGCAAAAAGGCATCGAGGCATTGTTACTGTACGATTGAACGTTAGAATGGGCAAAACGAGTGACCTAAGCGACTTTGAGCGTGGTATGATCGTCAGTGCCAGGTGCGCCCGTTCCAGTATCTCAGAAATGGCCAACCTTCTGGGTAATTCACACATGAGTGTCTAGGGTTTACCGAGAATGGTGCAACAAACAAAAAAACATCCAGTCAGCGGCAGTCCTGTGGGCGAAAACAGCTCGTTGGTTTGAGGTTGAAGTACAATGGCAATAATCATGCAAGCTAATAGGCGGGCCACAAACAGGCAAATAATGGCACAGTACAACAGTGGTGTGCAGAACGGCATCTCGGACCGCACAACTTGTCAGTCCTTGTCACAGATGGGCTATTGCAGCAGACGACCACACCGGGTTTGACTCCTATCAGCTAAAAACAAGAAGAAGATGTGGCTCCATTAAGCACGCGATCACCAACACTGGACAATTAAGGACTGGAAAAACATTGCCTGGTCCGAGGAATCTCGGTTCATGTTGCGTCATGCTGATGACAGAGTCAGGATTTGCCGTAAGTAGCATGAGTCCATGGCCCTATCCTACCTGGTGTCAACGGTACAGGCTGGTGGCGGTGGCGTAATGTTGTGGGAAATGTTTTCCTGGCACACATTAGGTCCCTTGATACCAATTGAGCAACGTTTCCATTCCCCAAAGAATTCAGGCTGTTCTGGAGGCAAAGTGGGGTCCGACCCGGTACTAGATGGGTGTACCTAATAAATATTCCGGACTGTGACATTGCTCATTCTGTATTTCTTGATTATAATTTTTTTACTTATTGGATTATGTGTGTGTTGTTTTGTATTGCTAGGTATTACTGCACAAGCATTTCGCTGCACCTGCAACATCTGCAAATTTGTGTACCCAACCAATAAACTTTGATTTGATTGAGAAAGCAGCAGCTGACTACTCCATTGTTGACACTTTAATCAAATCATTAGGCCTATATCAATATATTTACTAATACCAAATAAGTATCATGACATTAGTTTTTAAAACCTTCAATCTGTTTTCTTTTATCATATTTTGGACCAGAATGAGGCTCTCTCTCCACTGCCTATTGTTCCGTCAGTGAGGACTAAACAGCTTTATCGAATGTTTTCATAATTTATCTGCAGATAATCTCCAAAAAGCAGTAGTAGCCTACCAGTATGCAAATTGGGGAGCCAAATGAACGGCTCTCTCACCGATTCGGTTCCGTTCACCTTAAAGATAAGTTCAAAAAGAGCCATCCGTTCGCAAACAACCCATCACTAGGCTACATCAATGACTGTATGGGGCTACACTGACGAGTCACTTTAGCGGTCACAGGCAAGTCTCGACATGGGCTTCGAATCCTAGGAAAATACACACAAGATCTTTGGTTTACTTGTCCCAATGCAATACCCTGGACATATAACTACGTTGTATGATTTATGAATAGCAAAGGGATATATGAGATTGACTTTATTCAGTCAGTTCGACACCTTTTTATAAACTACTTTCGGTCATCCAATCAAATGACAGTAAATAGCCTATATGACCAATCTGTGGCTGGCTAAAGGCCTATGAAACACGCAAAATAAAATGTAAATGAATGTGCCATAAAACAATAATTATGTGGATTTCAACTCATCGTTACCACTTACATAACATGGGACGTGTAAATTCACGCACAGGAGACGACGAAGAAGCATCATGCTCTCCTTCCGTGAAAATAAATTTGACCGCAGCCAACCACAGCGCACAAAAATAATACAGGTTCCGAGAGTTTTGGGACAAACAGCAGACTAACAAAACAGAAGTTTGTCATTGCTGGCTTTTGACTGACAGGCGCATGTCATCGATGGCTGTGACTGACAGGCGCCTGTGCTATCAATAGATTGCTAGAAGATGCATATCGTTCATTCTAGTGGGAAAAGCCTATACTGACTTTTCTGACTAGCGAATTTAAACGTTTAAATGAAAAGAAGCCTGGTTAATGAAGTGGGGAAAAAGTAGCCAGCTGACAATGTCTGTTATCGGCTATTTAGCCGACAGCCGGCGCTTATGGAAAACACTGCTAGATTTGTTTCTCCATCAACATGTCCTGTTTAGACAGTCACATTTTCACTGCCTGGGTTCTGCCCTTTTATCCTTTAGTCCACTACTCTTGCTCTCTGTGATCATGTGTCAATGTCCTTACGGTCCCTTCTCCAGGTTACTGTGTCAGGGTTTGGGGTGGAGGTGAGTTGATGTGGCCTTGTAACCTTGAGCAGGCGTCGCTCCCTGTGTGCCTAACTTTGGTCTTGGCTCACTCAGATCTGGAGACTCTCGTCTCTAAACCTACTGGGTGCATGGAGTGCATCATGTCCACACAGACCGACTGGCAGCAGGATTTGTCTGGGCTTTACCCCTGTGAAGTGGAGGCTCCTAGTGGAGCGCTAGGCTGGCAGACAACAGATGCGGGGGGCTACAGAGGAATTTGTAAGGCAAACAAGCTGTAATCGTCTCCTGCGTCTGGCCTTGGTTTGGGGATGGTCTGCAGGGCAGGGGGAGAGACCAGACAGAGACCGAGGGGGTACGGGTTAGTGTAGAGAGGATTACAGCGTGCTGGGCTTTCAGTGCCTTAGACCAAATGACATGCGCACACACACTTGAGTTTATTTGTGTGTTTCTAGGTTTACTTATTATTAGGCCTACTTCAAACATTCTACCTGAACAAAGGTAGAAGACTGAAGCACATGTCAAAAGTGAGTGATGCTGTAACCTCCACTTTGGGCAGACTAAATTCCATTGAAAGGTTAAGCAGTAAAAAGTATTGGCTAAGGGAGTTTAGTCTTTGTTCACATACGTCATTTATTTACAGTTCCAACTGGGAGGAGACACAGACGCGTTTGACTAATATATTTTCTAGATGTCCTGAATGAATTCATTGACAGTTTGCCAAGAAACCTAAAACACACCAGTCTAAAATCACAAGGGAGGCCCAGAAAAATCTGGTCAGTCAAGGGACCCCAGTCTCTCTTTTCGTTACCCTTGTCTACTTCAATTTCTATCAGTAGTTATTTTCCACATTTTTGTTGTTTTGTGGATGGATGAATCATTCTACACTACATGATATACTGTAGGTTAGGCTAGTTCTGTGTGGGACAGCCAAGCCTTTCCTGTTTAGAGCCGACATGCACAATGTAAAAGAGAGCTACTTTTAAAACCACTTAGTGGATTTCCACTTCACTTAGCTTTCCCTGCAAGCAGGTAGTCCCGTTTGTCTGTCACTGGCATTGTCCCCAACTATGTTTAGAGCGCTCAGAGTAACTCGATTGACTTCTTTGACCTGTCTTCCTGAATGGGGCGGTGCTTAGCCCCAAATGACCAACAGGACGCTGTAACAATGTCTGTACAGAACCGTACCTCATATCTCAATACCTCATATAGAGTATGTACAGGATATAGTCATTGAATTCAATAGAATGTACATTTACTGATAATGTGTACTTTTTCCTACCCAGGTTTTGCTCACGTCGAGGTGAAAGCCTGTGACATAGGATAACTTTCTCCTGAACTTTAATTTGAAACCGTCCTAAATTGTTCTATTGTTTTCCCTATCTCTCTACCTTTCTGCAGTACATCAATGGTGGGAACCTGGAACAGCTGCTGGACAGCAACAAGCCTCTGAGCTGGGCTGCCAGGGTCAAGCTGGCCTGTGAGATTGCCAATGGCCTAGGCTACCTGCACTCCAAAGGCATCTTCCACCGGGACCTCACTTCCAAAGTGGGTGGCAGTTAACTGTGGCTGGATGCGTCTGAAATGTGGTGCTCTATAAAGGGAATAGGGTGCCATTTCAGATGCACCTGTGTTTCCTTTCTAAAACAGAATAATACATCTAGTCAGCCTTAATGTACCGTAACGGGTGTGTTCCAGTGTGTTTTCTTCAAACCATGGGAGTTGGGACCTGGTTTCCTCGCATAGTACTTGATGTTATTGTGATTATCTGGCTATATCGGTTTCTTCAATTGCGGGTTGAAACTGAGCCACATGGGGCTTTGACTCATGGGGCACCTCTTGAGTTGAATCTAATCGACCAACACTCTTTGTTTGGTGGCTATGTGATTTAGTTTATTTCTGATTCAGTTCAAGTATGACTGATTTGAGCATTAACTCTGAAAACTTTCCCATTTCCTCCATAAATGTCAGTCATTTTAGAAGCTCATAATGGAATTTGTGCTCACTGTCCTCAGAACTGCCTGATCAAGTCTGATGAGAACGGCTACACAGCAGTGGTCGGAGACTTTGGTCTCGCTGAGAAGATTCCCAGCTATGAGTAAGTCATTTCCACGGAAACGGTTATATATTAAACAGGAGCCAGTGCTATACAAACACAATGTTGGTTGACATTCATTGCTTAAACAGTTTTTAGCACGATACATAAGATAAAGATCAACACTGAAATTGAATCCCACGGTTTAATCAACAAAAACTCCAAAAATAAAATCTAGATTTGCTCCTTTGAGTCGAAGTCCAGTGAAATGTCTCTGTACTAAATGAATGTGGGGCTGGGAGGTAAAGGGATGGAGAAGTGCCAGTAGGAGAGGGTCATTTGATTAGGCAGGAACATGAAGTACTGTTCAGGAATAAACTGGCGCGCTAGGCTAATAATACCAGAGCAGGTTAAGAAGGCCTCTCTCTCGCTCTCGCTCTCGCTCTAGGCTATGACTTCAGTATTACATATTAATCTGATCAAGAATCGGCCTTCTTTCAAAACAAAGTTGGAGAGAAATAACAAATATTTTGGTTTGTCTAATTGTTGCGATAAATATTGCAAAAATAGTCAAATTGTGTGATGTACTGTAATGAATTGCATTATTCCCTCACCCAAAAGGCTTGTAAACTCCCAGTCTGTTTATCTTCCTGTACTTGTGTTGTGCCTGCAGTGGTGAGGGGGAGAAGTTGGCTGTGGTTGGCTCTCCCTTCTGGATGGCCCCTGAGGTGCTGCGAAATGAATCCTACAATGAGAAGGTAGGTCCCTGATCTCTAACCCTTGACCTCTACTCTTGACAGGACTGGACAGGACCACTGGTCTGATACACATCAACCCCCCAAGCTAAGAACTCATCTCAAACGTCTGTCTCTCTGTTTTCTTCCATTTCCAGGCGGATGTGTTCTCCTACGGTATTGTCCTCTGTGAGATTATTGCCCGAATACAGGCCGACCCCGATTACCTTCCTCGCACTGAAGTGAGTATTGCTCCGTTTCCTCAGTCCTCCTCATCCCCTTGATACATCACGTTACATAAGACTAACACTCATAAGACTCATGTCTGGGATCTAGTTGAAATGACGTTGGCACCAGGGGTGAAGAACAGCTTTTTCAATATGTTGGGTTAGATGCCAAAAACAGATTAACATAGATGAAATCCCAGTATGAATTTCCTGTCTGACCTCTCTCTCCACTCCCTCCTTGATAGAATTTTGGCCTGGATTATCATGCCTTCCAGCACATGGCAGGAGACTGTCCTCTTGACTTCCTGCAGCTGGCCTTCAACTGCTGCAACGTGAGTGAGCCCTCAATCTCTCAATTTTCCAAAAACACAAAACTGATTCCAAAATCTTTATTTTCTTGTGTGGGATAGAAACTAGAACACAATCTGATTTAGCAGTACCCCTGATCTTGTTTGACCTGGCTGCTGTATCCCCCCTCCCTTTCCCCCCACTCCTCACCATGTCCGTGTCCACTTTCTCCAGATGGACCCCAAGCTGCGACCCTCGTTTCCTGAGCTGGTCAAGAGGCTGGAGGAGATCCTGTGTCGGTTGAAGGCCGAGGAGTCTGAACAAGAGAGGATCCCCCTCAGCGGGGACAACGATAAGAAAACCTTCCCTAAAGGTGATGCCTCCAACCACCTCATATCTAACCCCTTCAGAAGCCTGACTGCCATGGCAGTGGAACTGTTTCATGTAATGATTCTTGAAGATAATTTTATGAGGATAGCATAAAATTTGCATGATCAAAACATCATTTTATGAGGATAGCATAACATATGCATGATCAAAACCATAAACATCACCACCTAATAAACTCCCTAAAACAATACAAACTGTGTAAAGATGCCCCTCAGCTACCCATTTCCCTTCAATGTACATTTCCACTGGCAATAAAAGCTTGCCTGGCATGACTGCCATGTTAGCCCGCAGTCCTGCACCACTTGACACCCAGTTTCCGTGTAATGGCTGCACAGTGCAGACCAATGGTTTCTTGGAACCAGGAAGAAGCTATTAACCAAGCAGCAGTGGGGCTGCCTCCCAAATGGCACCCATTCCCTTTTATAGTGTAATACTTTTGACCACAACCCACACTATATAGGGAATAGGGTGCCATTTGGGATATACCCCAGGTCTGCTCTAAATAGGTACAGTGGCAAGCCAGGGATGTCCTTTCCCTCCCCAGCGCTGTCCCAAAGAGTCCCCTCAGTCCTTTCCTCTACATTTATCATGCAGTGTCTGTTGCAGGTTCAAGTTGCCTTACAATTTAGCATGACGTAAACCTCTTAACCTCTTGAGTGTTTCACAATCACCCGATTCTGTGAAGCAAAGAATAAGATATAGTACGGTTATTTGTTGTTAGGTGGAAACCACCATGTATCCTTTGAGTAGGTTGTAAATCATTTGTCTTTTCTCAGATCCTATTTTATTTCTAATTTGGTTCAGGGGCCATTTGGAATGTTAGGGCTGGGCTTTGTTTTTGTTTAGCTGGCTTTCATTCCTCGGCCGGTCCCTCCTTCTTCACTGTTTGTTTACCTTCTGCATCTACATTCTCTGAGGCCCCAGTCCACTTTAGTATTTCTACTTCATATCTTAATTATTGGCATTCACATAATGTTTTGATCTATGCCATTTACTTCAATGTAAGAATTTGGCTGTGCCTTGTTTATTTCTCATGCCTGTACTGTATATCTTTGCATATATTGCCCCCTGGTGGTTACATTGGGAATGAACACTTCAAAACAATAATGTGTTGTGGAGTAGAGATTTGACTGTTGCCACTCTGTCTGTCTCTCTGTGTCTCTGTCTCGCTCTCTCTCTGTCCAGGTGACAAGGTCCAGGGGATTAAGAGGTTGAACCCGTTGGGTCTGCAGGATGATATGATCTCTCCCAAATCACCCCGTCCTCGCCGCAACATCTGGCTGTCCCGCAGCCAGTCAGACATATTTTCCCGCAAGCCCAGCCGTAAGGTGAATGTCCACGACCCCTACTACAACCCGGGGCCCAGGGCTGCGCCAGGGGCCCGCAAGATCAACCCCTTCAATGCCCGCGAGGACCTGTGCGGAGGCAAAATCAAGTTCTTCGATGTGCCCAGCAAGTCTGTGTTCTCCCTGATGTTCGACCTGCACTCTCCCCAGGACAATGTGTTCTCCTCTGGGACCCAGATCCACTCTGGAGCCCCCGTCCACCCGGGTATGTGGCAGGAGACCTGGTTTACTGGCAGACAGTGCCGCTCTCTGCCCGCCTCCCCCCAGCTGGCCCTCTTGGACGGCTGCTGCCCCCTTTCTGCCACCGTCTCCAAGTGTGACCCGGCCCAGCTGGGCCAAGAGGTCCGACAGAAGGTGCTCAGCGCCTGGGCCAGGAAATATGCTGTGATGGAGATCCCTCCTTACTGTGGAGGGAAAGAAACAATACAGGAGGAGAACAGAGTAGATGAGAGCTGGTCTCTCTCTCCCAAGCCCAGTGACAGTACAGAGGCTATGGACTGCTCCAGCAGCCAAGGGAGTCCAGAGGAGGACAACGTCAAGGGCAAACACTTCTGCTGCCCAATGCAGGCCCAGAATGGAGGCCCAGTGGGGGACAGTAGGGACGCAGTGTCTGAGGAGATGGAGGCTGAGGACCAGGAGGGCATGCAGCATCAGGGCACTCCCTGTCCAACTGTCACCATCAGCCCACCCACAAACAGAGACCATCTGAATCCCATTGTACTGATGCCATGTACGGCCCCACAAACCTCCACAGAACTGCCCTCTAAGTGTGACATCATCTAGGTCTAAAACAGGTCAAGGAGAAAGGAGCTTTGTGTGAACTCGTTTTTAACCTAGAGAGAGACACACTCCTCAGATAGGAATGATGCCGTGTGATGATGATCGATGCTCTGCAGATTATTTCTTTATTTTTTAAAGATTTATATTTAATATACTGAGAAAGATGTGTATTTTATTTCTTTAAAAAGGCGCCCCTAAACCAGGGGTCTCATAATTCCTTGCGGTTCTGTGTGTATGCTGGTTTTAAATCACTGCCTTCTCGTTGATGTTCAGTGGTTTTATTGTGTTTATCTTCTGCCGCATGGGGAAATGTAGGAGAGTAGATGTATATGATATTAAAGTAACACTCCAGGGAGAAAGGGTTGGGGTCTGAATGGGAAAACCGCATACTCACTGCCTTTCCAACATTGAGACCCCTACCCCTGCTTCATCGTGATTAGTGGTATTTCTGTACTAGACAATTGTGCCTGCCAGAAAGGAGAGTCCAAGCCATGGTGTAGAGAATAGATCCAGAACATATCAAGGCTAGTTAATGAGTGTGGTTCACCAGACTGAGGTCTCTTATGGAGAATAAAAATAATTGACATTAGAGTGCACTTAAACTTGTAGTAAAACCTAATACTTTGTGTAAATGTACACTCCCACGTGCACCGGAAATCGTTTAAAGGTACGTACAAACATTTTATGATTTAAATGTTTGGTATACACTGAGTGTACAAAACATTAGGAACAACTGCTCTTTCCATAACAAACTGACCAGGTGAAAGCTATGATTCCTTATTGATGTCACCTGTTAAATCCACTTCAGTGTAGATGAAGGGGAGGAGACCGGTTAAAGAAGGATTTTTAACCCTTGGCTTTTGTATGTATGCCATTCAGAGGGTGAATGGGCAAGACAAAATATTTAAGTGCCTTTGAACGGGGTATGGTAGTAGGTGCCAGACGTACCGGTTTGAGTGTATCCAAAACTACAACACTGCTGGTTTTTCACACTCAACTGTTTTCTGTGTGCATCAAGAATGGTCCACCACCCAAAGGACATCCAGCCAACTTGACACAACTGTGGGAAGCATTGGAGTCAACATGAGCCAGCATCCCTGTGGATGCTTTCGACACCTTGTAGAATCCATGCCCTGACGAATTGAGGTTGTTCTGAGGGCAAAAGGGGTGGGGGTGCAACTCAATATTAAGGTGTTCCTAATGTTTTGTACATTCCGTGTATGTTGGTGTGCATGGTTTCTTTCAGTTGACTGCATACAGAAATACTTATAGATTTTGAACACCAGTTTCATCACATTTACTTTTGTTTTCACTGTACTTTTGTCCATCCTCCATCATGAAAAATGAGAGCTCTATGAATAGAGGAATGATATGTTGTGTTGAAAAGTTGTGGAATTGGGTGTGGCTTGAATGTGTGTAGTTTTGGAATGTGTGATCCACCACACTTATGTTGAGGTGGGTCCTATTTTGGCAAATGGTCTTAAGTTGACAGCTCTGTTGGGTATAAGCAGCACTAGTTAGCATGGCTGGATCACTCCCACTTTTTGGTTCACTACTCCCTTGGCATGTTTTGGTCTACTGAAATACTCCAGTCTAACTACTTTTATAGAAAATTGCACATGAAAGGAAAACATTTTAGTAAACTCTTGTTTATTACTACATTTCTATGCAATAAATTTAAACTGCATCAGGATTGTTTTACATAGTGTATCTATTTTGATATAAAAAAGGAATAGATTTTACGTCTTACTCTGTATGCAATTTGTCTATTAAGGCATGTGTGGATGCCACGCTGTGATTGAGATGTTTGCCAATGTTAGAACTGTCCTTACTTTGTATTTTCAGTTATTTTCCTCCCAGTCTTGGCTGATTTTATGACCATGTATTGGTATGTAACAGGATGTTTCAGCCAAAGCTCAAGAGTTTTGAATTAAATTGTACCTTTTTTTTTTTTTTTACGTTGATAAAGGAACATGCGTCTGCAATCGTTTTAAAATAAATGCTTAACTTTAGCATCTTATGCTTATTTCAGTGTGATCCTATGAACGTAGTCATACTGACTGCACTACAGGCTGATGAGAGCTAATGTGAAATAAGAGCTCACTTTTCTCTTTTCCTGCCAAACCTCACATCAAGTTGTTTTCAAGACTCATAAATTACCATGTTTGTCATATAACCAAGGAAAAGCCTTTTTATTGAAACATAATACTGTATCAACAAACATAAAATGTCTAACTAAAAAGGCTTTATTATAAACAGGGAATACATTTGTTTACCCAGTTCCCTCTGCTTTGCTAGCCACACTGCTAGAAAAACTCTTTCCCCACACAATGTCCATCTTGTGCATGTGAGCCTTGGAGGACTTAGAGAAGGTGCTCTTGACAATATGCATCGGGACAGACTTACCACTGAGGTAAACCTTGTTCAGGCACTCAGGGAGCCAGGACTCTGAACCCGGTGACTCACCTACTCTCTCTGTCAGAGTGGCGGCATAAGAGAAGATGTAGCCGGTCATGAATGCATCAAACCCTGCCCGGTGGGTACCTCCCTCCAGCTTCTTCCTCATGGACTTTTCTTTCTTTGCTGCATCCGGTGTGGCCAGAGGCTGTGGCTCTGACACTCCATTTTCTTCTTCCTTTGCTGCATCCGGTGTGGCCAGAGGCTGTGGCTCTGACACTTCATTTTCTTCTTTCTTTGCTGCATCCGGTGTGGCCAGAGGCTGTGGCTCTGACACTTCATTTTCTTCTTTCTTTGCTGCATCCGGTGTGGCCAGAGGCTGTGGCTCTGACACTTCATTTTCTTCTTTCTTTGCTGCATCCGGTGTGGCCAGAGGCTGTGGCTCTGACACTTCATTTTCTTCTTTCTTTGCTGCATCCGGTGTGGCCAGAGGCTGTGGCTCTGACACTCCATTTCCTTTGTCAGTCTTAATTTCTTCATCTGCAGACACAGCCTGTGGCTCTGCGACTCTGTTGCCTTCCTCCTCTACCTTCTCTGTAATTTTCTCACCGCTCTCTGACCCCTGTGCCGGAGTCCCATCTACCTGCTCTGTGACAGGGGTAGGTTTGCTGTCTGTGGCAGGGATCACCTGGTCTGGGCCCTGCTCTCCATCATTCAGCTCCATATGGGCCTGCTTATTATTGGGGGCACCTTCAAAGTCAACGTTCCCCTGAGAAGAGTTTTTTCTTTTCCTCTTCCGTTTCTTTTTCTTTTCCACCTTGTTTTTTTCATCGTGCTGGATGATGAGGTCTGTGTCATGTGACAAGGGACACTGTGACCCATTGGGGCACCAACCGTAAGCCTGCCAAATACAGAAGACGTTAAGTTAGTGATAAATTGGACTGATTTACTTGACTTAACTGTATGCAAGCATTCTGTGTTATCTTGCCAACCCCCATTGTCACACCTCTGAGAAGCAAAGGTTCTGTTGTCTTTACAGGTCTGACATCTGATTGGAGGTTAACTTTACAGTAATGCTATTGGTCAACAACTCAGATTTTGAATCCAAACAACTCAGATGCTTATAAAAGGGTCTTAGATTCATTCTTTCACTTTTTTGTTCCTGAACTGCTGTGGTGAGATACCTACACACTCTCTCTCACGCAACATGCTTAGAATAATGCTTTGTAACTTAAGCTCTATATGTGAATCCATTCATTTTACAAAGTTATTAAATAATACTTGCTTTGATATTCGCTCCTCATGACCATTCCTTGATCTTAGTCTGCTAAATGCATAATACTTGATTGCACATGGTTTACATAGTCTCTTGCATATTGCTCTTTATCTTATGTAGGCAGATAATTAATTGAATGGGTTAATTGCATAGTCTTATTACGAGTTGCATGTGGGGTGTATATATATATATATATAATATACTTATGATAAATATTACCCCACTACACTTGTGTCAGCTGAAGTGTAACAGGGTCATGATGCAGAGTCAAGACACTGCATTGTTCAGATTAAGTTTATCATTAGAAATATGGCTTGGTTATACACTAGTTATTGCAAAATAACAGAGTCCATGAAGTGCCCCAGTGCTGATCATTATGTCACACACATTTTAGAGATCCTTTAAAACAGAATCTGGGCTTGCCTACAAGTTTGAGAAGTGATGTACTTACAGAGAAGCGCTGGCAGACATTCAGCGGTCCCTCGAGGCTAGACCCGGCCAGACAGGGCCTGTAGTCCACATAGCTGGACAGGTGGCCTGAGTATTTGCAAAACTCCAGGAACAGATGGCGTCCATTACCACCAACCTCAAGAGACTTGCTGTTGTCCAATTTACTGTGAAAAAAAAGGAAGAACACCAAAAATACTGTAACTACTTCCTTGAATGTGTAGTAGTATGGGTGGAAATAAGTCATATTTAGAGTTTAGTATACTTACCATTTCTTGTAGGCATACTCTAGGTAAGAGGCAGCAAAGCGCAGCTCATACTCTGTGGCGTACTTGGTGTCATATATCCCAGCTGGGAACATCTGGGACAGGTCAGCAGTGAAAGTGGCAAGTTTATCTGGCAGGTGGGCATAGAAGCACTGATATAGGAATACCATGTCGATCAAGCCATTGTGTAGAACCAATGGCTTGCGAGCACGCAGGAGTTCTACAAACAGCATCCGCATGTTCATTCCATGGGCATCCCCTCCCTGGATCAAGAAAGGAACAGAACTCTGGATCACTTCACCACTTAAAGGTAACAATAAGGAATAGTCCACGATCTATGACTGATCACAACAAAATCTTGATCTCACCTTGTCATTGCCCTTGAGATAAGGGACACCTTCAGCATATTGTTTGTTGAAGTCAAATCCATGTTGCACCAGGAACTGCACAGACTGTGGTTCAATTACGTACTCCTCATCGCAGAGCAACGTCAGGTTGTACACCTGAACAAGGTACGTATCATCATCCTGGAAAGAGATAATACATAAATTAAAATAATGTAACATTTGATGTTAAGCTTTCTGAATGTCAAAATGTGCAAAGGATACATTTACCTTGTTTTCACGTTTCTTATAACAAGCAAACCCAAGGGAGAGAATGGAGCGTGTGCGAGCTGCATTGCATATGGCTTTGTAACGCTCCTCTATGCATCTTAAAATGAAAACAGAGATAGATCCAATGTAAAACTTGAGATAGCATAGTGAAAGTACATTGGGTAAACCCAATTGAATTAAATAACTTTTTGACAGCATCCCTTTTGATTTAAACAAAACTGTCCATACATGTTTGCCCATGGAAGAAGTGGTCAGAAAGTGACTTTTTGGACCTGAATGCCAAAACATTCAGGAGATAAAGGTGCTCAAAGTTGACCCATTTTGCATACCCCACCATACCATGGAGACATCAGTCTTTCTTCATCACCGGAAAAGATAAACGGCTGAGATTGATCATCATTTAAAAGATTACAAACTGGTTTTTTATCAAAATGATGTCAGATTTTGATATATTTGCATATGTTAGACCCTATTTCACGTCTGAAGTTTTTGTGTAGTGCCCACCATCGGTTGAGACAGCATGCTCTTGAATACAGGGCGGCTGTCATTTCAATCATATAAATAGATTTCATAGAATAGACCTATCCCTTCAGACCACTGCAATTTTGCTGGTACACCATTGAAATGTAAATTGAATTGAAATTTGAACTTCTAATTTGTACAACAAAGATGAAAGCCAGTCCACCCACTGTCGAATATCAACTTAAATCGTCATGTCTTTTCTATGATCTATATTTCAAGAGGTTTCCTATGGAGGATTGACAGTATATAATAATAATATGCCATTTAGCAGACGCTTTTATCCAAAGCGACTTACAGTCATGCGTGCATACATTTTTGTGTATGGGTGGTCCCGGGGATCGAACCCACTACCTTGGCGTTACAAGCGCCGTGCTCTACCAGCTGAGCTACAGAGGACCACGGTATAATTTAAAACAACAGATATTCCCATTCAAGTCAACATTCTCTTATGTATGGACCTCCAACCATCTTTGTGGTATCATTTGAAAGTTGACATTTCAATTTTATTCCCATTTTAGTACTTTTATCAGCCAAAACATGACACCCACCCTGTATCCAAGAGCATGTTGTGTCTGAACCACACAACACAAAAACCTTAGATTATGTAAAATAGGGTATAATCTACAACATGTGCAAATATGAAGAAAACCCCCCAGATGTTACTAACCTGATTCATCTTATCAACCTGTTAATTATTAGAATCAGGTGTGCTAGATTAGGGTTGGAGCAAAAACCTACAGGACAGTAGGTAGCTCTCCAGGAACAGGGTTGGGCAGTCTTGGGTTAAAATGATTACATTTTTATTTTAAATAATAATAATAATAACAATACAATAGTTTGACAACCCTGTGTGTAAGCTTTTAAATTATATAAATCTCAGCCGTTTGAAAATATGGATGTCTCGTGGTATGATGGGGTATGAAAAATGGGTCAACTTTGAGCACCTCTTGATTATTTTGGCACTCAGGTCCAAAAAGTCGCTTTCTGAATGGATGGTTTCGTTCAAATCAAAAGGGGTGCTGTCAAAAAGTGACTTAATTCAAATGGATTTACCCCATTAGCTACATTAAATAATGAAGAAAAACACAGAATCAACCACACTCACTCTGCCAGCAAAGCTTTTCTGCTTCCAAGGCCACTCAATTCCTGAAACAAAACAGAATGCAGACAGAATGAGTGTCAATGGGCCTACATAAAGGTTTTTAACACAATGTACAGAACGTAAACAATGCATGTAAGTCACCCACAGCTATGTTTGTCTGCTAAACTCGCTGTAACACTTACTGTATCCAGTGCAATGTAGGAGGCAGTCTTGATTGCAAGGACCATTGCAGGCCACAGTTCTTTGAAATTATCATTCTGCACATCAATAACAGGGACTACCATGGAGGATGTCATAGCTAACTTGTTAATATTTTGGAGCACAACCAAAATGTTCAACTCAGTGTAAGCTAGCTAGTTAGCTAGTGAAGCTAACTGAACACTGTGGCGGAAGTGACTATACTTATTGAATGGTCAGGGAACTCATTGCAGAAGGTTTTCGGTTGTCCAATGAAAGCTTTCTGTTCACTACTATGCGATATTCTTCACGTTTGTCGGATTGCATTGATTCGTTTGTCAATAATAGTTTTCAGGGAGGAAGACCCAAATTCATGGCAAGAATGAAGCGCAGGTTCAGCTGTAAACATCCAACGAACGTGGTCTGAATGGGGTCCTCACAGATGTTACACCAACAACACACAAAGGACCCCAGTAGGAGTGTACAAAGTTTTCCAATTCAAAATTTAAATATTCGTTAATACCTTTCTATAATCACTAAATTTTCAATATGGGGACAATGTCGACTAAATAGACATTGTATATTTTGTTAATCTGCATAATTCGAAATTTTATTAATGCTATTGTATCCTTCTCTTGAATAAATATTTAAAGCATGCAGTGTAATGGCCAGCGCAACCCTGTGACGTCAGCAAACAACCGTTGAGGACAAGTGCGCCATTTTGGCTCAAACAAAGTCGGAATTGATTTACTTTGCAATTTGATATTATTTGGCATGCTAACATCGCTTAATATTTTTGTGAATCTTTGGGATGAGATAAAATATCTTATGTGAGCTCATGTTTCAACCCATGTTGTATTTAGTTTTGTTTCCTATGAGAACAAGTGTAAAGTTCTGTTAGCATTAGCCTCAGCTAGCTACATGCTAGCTCTGTCGTTTGATTGCAAACACTGGCTCTATAGTTAGCTTGCTAGCAAGCTACATTTAGCAGTTTTTCCACTTGTTAGCTCGATAGGTATGGGTGGGTGCTCCGCTCCAAATTGCTCGAACTCAACAACCATTGGGAAGCAACTGTTTCGTTTTCCAAAAGAGCCCATACGCAAGAATAAATGGCTTGTAAACTGCCGGCGTAATTTTGTACCAACTCCACATTCCAGACTGTGCCAGGCAAGTTTATGGGTGACCAACGTTACTGGCTAGCTAGTTTAGTCCACCAGTCAACAGTTTCCCAACTCCAAATTAGGACAACAAAACATGTTGACATGTTTATCTACACTTTTAATATCATAACCTAATTGATTGAATGCAATATATAATGCACCAAGAGAAAATACATCGATATTTAGCTAGCTAATCCTACAGCTATGTCTTCTTGCAGGACCATTTTGAGCTGAGTCAGTTTGAAGAAATCGCCAGGTCGCCAGCAGGGGGAAAGAAGCTGAAACCAAATGCTATCCCCACTCTTTTCCATGTGCAAAATCCACCTTATCCCATCACCCCACAGATAGTGCTACCACTCAAACCAGAGCCAGGTAACTTTACTTTTTTCTTTATTTCTTAAAATCACAATAACATCTGTGAAATTAGATATTGACACATTATCAGATAGCCTACTATTGTCAGATAGTAGTAGGCCTAATGCAAATGTTGGTCCAGTTGAGCTAACACACAACTGATTGTAACAGTGGATCAAGTGAGTGATTTGGGTGTGTTGTTTAATGTTCTCTGTATACCAAGTGGAGAGGGATCTGAATGTGGGGGATCATGGCTACGCAAGGCGACAACCAACTCTGGGCATGGAGGAAGATGCTGATGAACTACACAAGGCAGAGGAACGTCCCTGCACCCATTGTCAACCTTACAAAACCCTGCTGGAACAAGAAATGCAACACACTGCCAGACTTCAGAAAGAGGTGTGTTGGTAGCTCCTTTTTCCCAACTATTTCAAACTATTGCCTCATATTTCCTAAAACATCTTTCTCTAGTCAAACCTTTTCAGTGTGAAGTATTGTTATGTTATGTGAAATTATACAATGGACCCTTTACGCTTTCAGTCATAAGAATTATCTCACAGAGAAGAACAACAAAACATTTTGTGAGAATCTTTGAAAAGATAACACCTCCTCAACATGTTATCTTGTGTGCAGGCTGAGGAAATGAAGAAGAGGATGTTCAAACTGGACAGAATAGAGAGGGGCCTCCAGACATTTCTGTATGAAGACCAGATCCGTGCCCTGACCCTGACCAAGCGTTCCCGGAGAGCTGTGTGGTCCCACGAGACAGTCCTGAAGGCCCGTAAGATCCGATGTGCAGTCGGTGCCAAGGGTTACGAATTCCTTCGGGAGTTAGGCTACCCTTTGCCCTCTTATAGAACTTTATGTAACCGCCTGGAGGAAAAAATCATGGTGACGACAGCCATGGGCTGTGATGAGCTTGCAGAGCTTGGTCTAGGAATCATATCCACATGTGACAGTCCAGAGGGAGATGGGGACAATGAGGAGGCTTTCATTGGAGTGATGTCATGACTCATGAAAGAGAGATTTTCGATCAATTTGTTTGAATGTGTGTTTCATTTTGAAGGATGTAACGCAAAATGACAGGACAATATAGCAAAGACTGATGACAGCTAGTAGGCCTATGTGGTGAAGAAAATGTGGAAGCATATGCACAATGGGAGATGTTTGTGTTAAAGCATTATTGGTTCTGGACTTGGTTTCATATAAAAGTGGTTTTTAGAATGGTTTACTCATGCTAAAGAATTTTGTGTTTATTTTGGGGATGGAACATAAGCGCCTTCAAAACAATAAAGAGCAGCAGTCATCTCCCTTAAAGCTGCAATCAGCAGTAGAAACAATAACAAAGTGACCTCAGTAAAAAGCTGAGGGATGGAGCTTGAGGAATTGAATCACTCTCAAATTCATAGACAGACCTATGGATGCAAGGATTGACCATCCATGATATCAAATTATAGTTTTAATGTTTTGAGGCTATATAGTGTTTGTTTACATTTTCTTTGTCTACAAACATTGGAGTAAAACAAGCTTATATTTGGAGTTCTAATGGGGCACGACAGTTGAACTAAGCTCATGAGGCATTTATAAGTTATATTCTTCAAGAATGAATGGGTACATATCATTAATTTATAAGTCCAAAAATTGATGTAGCAACTGCTAATTGTCCCTTTAAGCTTTGAAGCTGCAATTTCAAACCACCTTTCTGTGCTCAATGTGGGGTCATAATTCAGAAGCTATGCTAATCATTTGCTGTACACCTTTTGTCTTCAGCTGAGAATGTTTGACAAATGCAAAGGAACAGCAGAATTTTAACCACTGTTTGCAGAGTTTTTAGTTGCCCTTCATTGTCACTTATGTTAAGTGGACAAATTGGAGGATTCGTTTGTATTTTGTAATGGGAATCAGTTTAGCTGCATTTGGAAACTGCAATGCAGTATACAGCCATTGGAGAACTGGTAGCTGCAGTGTATACTGGCTGCGCCTCCTGAACTTAGGTTGAATAACCTGAGGCTTATTTTGTTACAATCACTAATGGGATATTAGCCAGCAAGCAGAACAGCAAGCAGAACCTCTGGGTGGGAGGAGGTTTGTAGACAACACACTAAAGAGGCAGGAGAGTATACAGTACCCTTATCAAAACAATGGTACTGTAGAAGAATAAAGAAATCGTATCAAGTAGGGCTGGGAATTGCCAGGGACCTCATGATACAATATTATCACGATACTTTGGTGCCGATACAATATGTATTGCGATTCTCACGATTCTGTATTGCAATTCGATGTTTGGTATTTTATTAGGATCCCCATTAGCTGTTGCAGCAGTTACTCTTCCTGGGGTCCACACAAAACATGAAACATTACATAATACAGAACATTAATAGACAAGAACAGCTCAAGGACAGAACTACATCTATTTTTTTAAAGGCACACGTAGCCTACATATCAATACATACACACAAACTATCTAGGTCAAAAAGGGGAGAGGCATTGTGCCGTGAGGTGTTGCTTTATCTGTTTTTTGAAACCAGGTTTGCTGTTCATTTGAGCAATATGAGATGGAACGGAGTTCTATATAATACTGTATGCTTTCTTGAATTTGTTCTGGATTTGGGGACTGTGAAAAGACCTCTGGTGGCATGTCTGGTGGGGTAAGTGTGTGTGTCAGAGCTGTGTGTAAGTTGACTATGCAAACAATTTGGGATTTTTAACACAATCTTTGTTATAAAAAGAAGAAGTGATGCAGTCAGTCTCTCCTCAACTCTTAGTCAAGAGTTCCAAACATATTGCTCATATGTCTGCTGCAAAGGGACAAGAAAGAGCCATGAGAAAACAAGTTTTGATCAGTCATGGAAATAAAAGTGCTTAAAACAAATTGGCTCCGTATTTAAAAAGACGATGGAGAACAAGCTATGAAGGAAAAATACTGGAGTTTTGGTGCAGGTACAGTGAACTAGCGCAAAAATAATATTGCGATATTGTCAAAACGATACATTGTCAAAAATAATATCCCGATATGTAACTACCGATTTTTGTTCCCCCTATCACTACTATCAAGTAGGCTGCCTATGTTTGTGGCTTTTGTTTTTTGTAGTGTTGAAGCATTCACTTTTATCAACAAAGTGTGAAACATTGTTTTGCAAAGGAGACCATACCATACTCATAGTACTATAACTATACTGAACAAAAATATAAACGCAATATGTAAAGTGTTGGTCCCATGTTTCATGAACTGAAATTAAAGATCCCAAAAATTTTCCATATGCACAAAAAGCTTATTTCTCTCAAATTGTGTGCACAAATGTGTTGTGAGTGAGCATTTCTCCTTTGCCCAGATAATCCATCCCCCTGACAGGTGTGGCATATCAAGAAGCTGGTTAAACAGCATGATCATTACACAGGTGCACCTTGTGCTGGGGACAATAAAAGGTCACTCTAAAATGTGCAGTTTTGTCACAACACAATGCTACAGATGTCTCAATTATTGAGGGAGCATCCAATTGGATGCTGACTGCAGGAATGTCCACCAGAGCTGTTGCCAGAGAATTGAATGTTAATTTCTCTGTCATTAGCTAACTCCAACGTCGTTTTAGAGAATTTGGCAGTACGTCCAACCGGCCTCACAACCGCAGACCACGTGTAACCACGCCAGCCCAGGACCTCCACATCCGGCTTCTTCACCTGCGGGATTGTCTGAGATCAGCCACCTGGACAGCTGATGAAACTGAGGAGTAGTTCTGTCTGTAATAAAGACCTTTTGTGGGGAAAAACGAATTCTGATTGGTTGGCTCCTAAGTGGGAGGCCTATGCCCAGTTATTTGAAATCCATAGATTAGGGCCTAATTTATTTATTTAAATAGACTGATTTCCTTATATGAACTGTAACTCAGTAAAATTGTTGCATGTTGCGTTAATATGTTTGTTCAGTATAGATACTATGAAACTGATTCATGTTACAGGAACTATTCTGTATATATCCCTGACATATTATCTTCGGATTAGTATTAATATCTATAGTGCTCCACTGGAATGCTGTGACCTTTGAAAAGCCATGCCCATCACACTGTAAATGTACTTTTAGCCTGTACTGTACTTTGACCTAATCATTCAGGGGAGAAAGAGCATTGCTGTGTTTTTCCGAAATTCTGAGAGCCAAAAGAGGGGGAGAAAATATGTTTGTGCAACGGTAGATGTTTTTTACTCCAAATATGAAAAGACCATTGGTGCTGAAGTTTTTTGGAGTTCTCAGAATCATACAGGCTACTTGTAGACGTGTTTGTATGTCACACATTTATTCTTCTCCCACACAGTTGGACCCCTGACCCACTTCTTCGTAAACCTTGCTAAATTGTGATCAATAATGCCTCATGGTGTAGCACACTAATGGTCAAAGGTTTTAGAACACCTATTCATTCAAGTCTTTTTCTTTATTTTTACTATTTTCTACATTGTAGAATAATAGTGAAGACATCAAAACTATGAAATAACACATATAGAATCATGTAGTAACCAAAAAAGTATTAAACAAATCAAAATATATTTTATATTTGAGATTCTTCAAATAGCCACCCTTTGCCTTGATGACAGCTTTGCACACTCTTGTCATTCTCTCAACCAGCTTCATGAGGTAGTCACCTGGAATGCATTTAATTTAACTAGTGTGCCTTCTTAAAAGTGAATTTGTGGTATTTCTTTCCTTCTTAATGCGTTTGAGCCAATCAGTTGTATTGTGACAAGGTAGGGGGGGTATACAGAAGTTATTTGGTAAAAGATCAAGTCCATATTATGGCAAGAACAGCTCAAATAAGCAAAGAGAAACGACAGTCCATCATTACTTTAAGACATGAAGGTCAGTCAATATGGAACATTTCAAGAACTTTGAAAGTTTCTTCAAGTGCAGTCGCAAAAACCATCAAGCACTATCATGAAACTGTCTCTCATGAGGACCGCCACAGGAATGGAAGACCCAGAGTCACCTCTGCAGCAGAGGATAAGTTCATTAGAGTTACCATCCTCAAGAATTGCAGCCCAAATAAATGCTTCACAGAGTTCAAGTAACAGACACATCTCAACATCAGCTGTTCAGAGGGGACTGTGTGAATCAGGCCTTCATGGTCAAATTGCTGCAAAGAAACCACTACTGAAGGACACCAATAAGAAGAAGAGACTTGCTTGGGCCAAGAAACACAAGCAATGGACATTAGACTGGTGGAAATGTGTCCTTTGGACTGGAGTCCAAATTGGAGATTTTTGGTTCAAACTGCCATGTCTTCGTGAGATGCGGTGTGGGTGAACGGATGATCTCCGCATGTGTATTTCCCACCGTAAAGCATGGAGGAGGAGGTGTTATGGTGTGGGGGTGCTTTGCTGGTGACACTGTCTGTGATTTATTTAGAATTTAAGGCACACTTAACCAGCATGGCTACCACAGCATTCTGCAGCGATACGCCATCCCATCTGGTTTGCACTTAGTGGGACTATCATTTGTTTTTCAACAGGACAATGACCCAACACACCTCCAAGCTGTGTAAGGGCTATTTGACCAAGAAGGAGAGTGATGGAGCGCTGCATCAGATGACCTGGCCTCCACAATCCCCCGACCTCAACCAATTGAGATGGTTTTGGATTAGTCCGACCGCAGAGTGAAGGAAAAGCAGCCAACAAGTGCTCAGCATATGTGGGAACTCCTTCAAGACTGTTGGAAAAGCATTCCAGGTGAAGCTGGTTGAGAGAATGCCAAGAGTCATCAAGCTGTCATCAAGGCGAAGGGTGGCTATTTGATGAATCTGAAATATAAAATATATGTTGATTTGTTTAACACTTTTTTGGTTACTACATGATTCCATATGTGTTATTTCATAGTTTTGATGTCTTCACTATTATTCTACAATGTAGAAAATAGTAAAAAAAATAAAAAATAAACTTGAATGAGTAGGTGTGTCCAAACTTTTGACTGGTAGTGTATATATACACTCAGTTTGATAATGTTGTTTTTGAAGGTTTACACAACCCTTTTCTTTCCAAAGTGTTCCTGTTTTGGTATTATTTGTCAGCCATCACACATACAGTATATGATCATGGAATGCAGTGTCTTGGATCTGGTGTCTATAACATTTATTAGAATACAATATCATTTGAGGAATTTTGCCTGACCATTAATTACATTATACAAAAATGTAGCCTCATAGAGAAGAAAACATATCTGGAATTGACAGGTTAGTGTTTGGGTTTCACAACCCTCTTACCCTAAAGTAAACACAGTGGCTTACTCTGTTTGTTTTGGGGGCAGTGCTTAGCTGAGATGAGGGCTTAAAAACAGCAGCGTAACATTGTATTGCTTAGTTGTGTGAAGCAGAAGAGAGGCTCAAAGAGGACAGAGGTCAGTCCAGGTATCATGTCATTCAGTAGTAATTTATTTTGCATACTGTATGTAGCAGAGACTATGGCTATGTTCCTTGCTAGTGATACATACGAAGAGTTGCATTGACCATCAAATCAGAAAATTAACGTCTGACATCGGCCTCTCTCTCCTGGAACTCTTTTTAGGTTAGGTTTGGAGGAGATGATGCAGGGTCTCTTGACTCTGTGGCTGTGTGCTGCTCTGCCAGGGCTCCTATGCGCATCGCCTCTGTTAGTAGAAAGGGACAATGATACCTCCAAGATCTGCAAGCCAGCACCGCACTGGGAGATCAAGGGCCATGGGGCCCCCATGAAGGAGCTGCTGGGAAATGTAGTTGTTCTGGCTCTGCTGAAAGCAAGTTGACACTTCTGCCGCACACAGGCCTCCAAGTAAGAGAGAAGTCTTCAGAATCTGTCTGGCATAACAATTACTGTAGACCTACCGTAACATACTGTGCAAAGATTTGGTATAGAAATGTAATAAATGTAATAATAATGTATTTACAAACAAATTGCTATAATGTTGTTGATGTAATGCTGCTGGTGATCCATTTCAGAGTTATTGAGAGCATTCTTCCCAACCAGTAGTGAGAAATGGTCTGAATGACGAAAGAATAGGAAATTAGTCAATAGCGCCATCTAGTGGCAATCAAGTGGTACCTCATCATGACTGATCCGCCATTGTCCTGTTGCTGCTGAGTAGACTAGGAGGCCTACGTGACAAGCTGCTCCGCAGCAAACTGACAGACGTGTCGTTCCTCATTGTGAACGAGAGGGAAGCCCAGTCCAGAGCCATGTACTGGGAGCTGAAGAGGAGGGCCCCCCCGGGCATCCCTGTCTACCAACAGGCCCCGCTACAGGACGACGTCTGGGAGGCCCTGGATGGAGACAAGGACGACTTCCTGGTATATGACAGGTAATAAGGGAAGGTAACACTGCCGCTATTACCACGCTTTTCTACCAAGATGCAGAAATTGAGGAGCAAAAACCCTGATAAGGGCCGAAATGCCTTGGTTTTACTTAAAGGGCCAATGCAGCAGTTTTTTTCTCAATATCAAATGTTTTTTTTGTTTTTTTTGTCATTTAGCAGACGCTCTTATCCAGAGCAACTAGGATTAAGTGCCTTGCTCAAGGGCACATCAACAGATTTGTCACCTAGTCGGCTCAGGGATTAGAAACAGCGAACTTTCGGTTACTGGCACAACGCTCTTAACCACTAAGCTACCTGCAGATTTCTGGGTAACAATTAAGTAGGCCTACCTTATGGTGATAGTTTTCAATTAAAATGTTCAAACATTTAAAAAAAATATTAAAGCTTCTTAGCAAAGATACATTTCTCTAGCAATAATTTTGCTAGGACTGTCTGGGAGTGGTCTGAGTGGGGAGGGGGAAACTGAAAACGAACTGTTATTGGCAGAGGTTTGGAACTCTCTTTCTTATTGGTCTATTAACTAATTTACCGGCCAAAACGCCGGCCAATCCCACCAAAACATGTTGAAGTTTCAGGCAGTCTTTTCAAACAGCTCTTACACTAACAGGGCATTATCATCATTTTCACAATTTCACTGTATTATTCACTGTATTATTCCAAACTCGTGTTTTTGAATACACTGGGCCTTAAACAATAAATAAGGAATTTTATCAACTTCCACTGTCCTCCAAGAGTTGCTGAATTACCCCTTCACTTCAATATGACAGGTAAGGGCCATTGAAGAGGGCCAAAATACTGTCACGTTGTTTCTCAAAATGATACATTTTCTATGAATAAGGAATGGGCTTGTATTGATTGAAGGCAACACATCAGCCCTAATCTAAAGCTACCACTGCTCTTTGACTTTAATGGTATGAAGTGTCTATCAGGTTTTATTTAGATATGTTCTATCTACAGAGATCTTTATAATTGGTGTGACACCTCATTCATGTGGCCATGTTCTCTCTCTGACAGATGTGGGAGACTGACGTTCCACATAGTCCTGCCCTACAGCTTCCTCCACTACCCCTACATAGAGGCAGCCGTCAGAGCCACCTACCACAAGGACATCTGTGGCAACCTCACCGTAAGTGAAAGCACAATTCTTAAGGGAATTGTAGACATTTCATTTCAGTTTCGCTCCTCAATTGAAAAACACTACAGTGCAGAAGTGCCCCATAGAAATACAATTACTAGAACAGGTAAACCCCACAGTCTTCTCTTTCTAGTAATTCTATCTCTATGATTTGTAGCGTAATAAAGGTTCTGATTAGTAAACCAAATAATAGAGATCTCTCTGTGGCTCTCCCAGGTGTATTTTTAGCTTGTACCTATTTTGTTAACTTTAGTGTATTCTACTCTTCTACAGGTGGACTCCAACATGACCTCCTCAGCTGGGTGCACCCAAAGAAATGAGACACTGAGCAGTTCAGAGATCCATGATACAGCGAGGCCTATTGATGTCGATACCGTCAGCAACCCAGCTCCAAGTGATGGACGCCAGATGTCGTCTTACTGGGGTGGTAACATGTCACACATACATCACCATCAGCACCAGCATCATCAGCAGCAACACAACCATGGGTCAGGCACAGATAAACAGGACTCCAATTAACATCGTCTATGTCGTTTCTGAGAAGAGTAATCGTTATTTAGCATGGTGGTGGTGGTGGCTTGTGTCAGTGACTTGACCGTCCGATAAATAGTTTTGTATGAATTACATTTGATTTTGTCTGTACCTGTCAATTGTGTCTGATAAGGCAAACCTGTACAGTGAACTGGAATTATTTAGGCCCTTGAAATACAGAATGTCTTCCCTACATGTGGTTGGGTGACAGGTCCTGCTCTCCTCTGCAGTTTATGAAGTCTGCAGGTCAAACCTTACGGAGGTGTCTGTAGACAGATGCTATGCTAAGGAAAGTTGGACTGACAGTCACCGAACCCATGCAGGGCGGTGTGCTAGACTTCAGGGTATACTTAGCCATTTAAGATTTACGTTCCAGGTTGCTGGTTGTTCCATGGTCAGATGCTGGTTATTCATAAGCATGTAGCCTAAGCCTACTATGTTCTATATAACTAATCTGAATTCACAATTAAAAGTATGATTATGTTGTTGTATGAATGTAATCAAAATCATTTCAATATGTTGTGTTTCTATGTTCATAAAGGGTGGGGTAGATTTATTTTGCTTGTCTGGAGTTACTGTCAGTGGATACAGTGAGGAAACAGAATATGAATACATCATCAGCAAAACCTAAAAAGTAGAAATAATAAGAGTTGCATAAAGTGATCTAAGACAAGCAGACAGTGGGGAGGGGGCAGCCAGAAGTAGGGAATTCATAATGCAGTTTGAGAGGATGGGCCTAGTCTGACTCTGAGCTGAGGAACAACGCTGTTGTTATATCACTGATGTGCCAGAGAAGCGGTTGGTGAGCTGAATTAGTTGAATGAGTCTTACCTTGCTCCTACTGACCTGTGAGTCATACATTATAAATGAGCAGTAGGGCTACATCTCAGTGTCATTAGTGTTTGACTTGGACTGAAATAGGTGCCGGTACTCGTGTTGGGTGCCGGTACTGTTTATATTTAGGTGCAGGAACTCCACAATATTTTTGAGCTAATTATTCTATGAAGAACAAGAGCTCAAGCATTAGAACATTTGAGGTGCCAGAGTACTGGTGAGCTCCTGTCTAAGTCAAGCACTGAGTGTCAGTAGTGTTTCACCTTTATGTAAACTCATAGGCTATTTCCCAACAAATAATAGGTCAATATTACTGTTTGTGTTTGGGCCTAGGCCTATATCTATTCATTATTCTTTGAAACCATACATTTTTTCAAGCTAAATAGCTTCTCACAAGCGGGCAAGGCATGAAATAGATAGCCTAGGGCTCAACTATAGGCTAAAATACCATGCACAGCAGGTGGATTACCTCATTGCCGCGTGGGGTGATGGTAAATGACAACTCCGCTCACTCATATCACCATCAACACTCAGGGAGAATGGCACGCTGGACGGCGGACAAATTCAACCATGGTTAGATGGTTTGCGACCATCAGATCCGCAATTTGTGCATTCCGGTCGATGAGTGCAGGCTACGAAGTAAGTTCTGTTAATCTTGCACCTGAATATAGACAATTACAGCCTATTATAAATGACTTTCGTATGACAAAATCAGTTAGTCTTAGCCTAAATAGTTATTTTGTAATTTCTAAAATGAATGTCCCTCTATTCTAGACTCTAGTGGTATAACCAAGGGAAATACCTTCATCATCGTATCATCACCATTATCATCATCATCATCACCACTATTCATGCCAACACCTTGTTATTTGATAAAGGACTATACACACTTCTGTGAGATAACATACACTTTTATGATTATTTTTTAAACTCTTTTGTAGGCGACTGAGAGTTAAAATACAGAAGAGGTTATTGTAGGTTCAATAGGCTGTGTCGTTGTGTAAGGGATTTTCTAAATCCTCCTGAAGCAAGAAGCTAAACCTACTTTAGTTTATCCAGCTGGCCGACTGACTTGCATAGCCTATCAACAAAATGTCTGCATCTTGTCAGATACAGTATTTCTGTGCGTGTTTTGCAATTGTGACCCTTTTCATAATTTACCAATCTGACGTTAGGTGGCAGTACTGTCGCTTGCATAGACGTCCTTATGAAGTCTGCTATATGAGTTATGAAATGTAAACTTCTAGAAGCAAATAATTCACACCAACTATTTGGATAGTTTCATCAGAGTGAATATTTACTTTATATAATGTAAAGTGATAAATGAATTTAACTAATCACATAATGCATTTTTGCAGCGTTTAGGGATGGCCACAACATGGCAGAAAATCAAACTGTTCTACCAAGGGGTGCTAGAGGATGGAGGTAACTATGTCCAGCTTCTAAGACCAGACAGTGCTCACTGAAGTTCTCCATTCTATATACTCCATTCCATTTTCTTATCCTATAGTAATGATGTCTCTGTGTGCTTTCAGACAAAAGAACCGACAGCTGGTTGCTGGTGTACTCACCTGTGCCAATCACCTGCATCTTCCTGTGCTACCTGCTCCTCATATGGGTGGGCCCCAAGCTGATGGCTCATAGACAGCCAGTCAACCTCAAGCCTGTGCTCATCATTTACAACTTTGCTATGGTCTGCCTGTCTGCCTACATGTTCTATGAGGTATGGAAACAGGGGAAAGCATGGATAACTTGTAGGTATTTTACCCATCTTGGATGTGCTTTGGATCTATTGTACACAGTACAGTACCTATCGATATCCTTGTTATACAGTTGAAGTCGGAAGTTTACATACACCTTAGGCAAATACATTTAAACTCAGTTTTTCACAATTCCTGACATTTAATCCTAGTAAAAATTCCCTGTCTTAGGTCAGTTAGGATCACCACTTTATTTTAAGAATGTGAAATGTCAGAATAATAGTAGAAAGAATGTTTTTATTTCAGCTTTTATTTCTTTCATCACATTCCCAGTGGGTCAAAAGTTTACATACACTCAATTAGTATTTGGTAGCATTGCATTGAAAGTGTTTAACTTGGGTCAAACGTTTCGGGTAGCCTTCCACAAGCTTCCCACAATAAGTTGGGTGAATTTTGGCCCATTCCTCCTGACAGCTGGTGTAACTGAGTCAGGTTTGTAGGCCTCCTTGCTCGCACACGCTTTTTCAGTTCTGCCCACACATTTTCTATAGGATTGAGGTCAGGGCATTGTGATGGCCACTCCAATACCTTGACTTTGTTGTCCTTAAGCCATTTTGCCACAACTTTGGAAGTATGCTTGGGGTCATTGTCCATTTGGAAGACCCATTTGCGACCAAGCTTTAACTTCCTGACTGATGTCTTGAGATGTTGCTTCAATATATCCACATAATTTTCCTTCGTCATGATGCCATGTATTTTGTGAAGTGCACCAGTCCCTCCTGCAGCAAAGCACCCCCACAGCATGATGCTGCCACCCCCGTGCTTCACGGTTGGGATGGTGTTCTTCGGCTTGCAAGCGTTCCCCTTTTTTCTCCAAACATAACGATGGTCATTATGGCCAAACAGTTCTATTTCTGTTTCATCAGACCAGAAGACGTTTCTCAAAAAAGTACGATCTTTGTCCCCATGTGCAGTTGCAAACCGTAGTCTGGCTTTTTTATGGCGGTTTTGGAGCTGTGGCTTCTTCCTTGCTGAGCGGCCTTTCAGGTTATGTCGATATAGGACTCGTTTTACTGTGGATATTTCCTCCAGCATCTTCACAAGGTCCTTTGCTGTTGTTCTGGGATTGATTTGCACTTTTCGCACCAAAGTACGTTCATCTCTAGGAGACAGAACGCGTCTCCTTCCTGAGCCGTATGACTGCTGCGTGGTCCCATGGTGTTTATACTTGCGTACTATTGTTTGTACAGATGAACGTGGTACCTTCAGGCGTTTGGAAATTGCTCCCAATGATGAACCAGACTTGTGGAGGTCTACAATTCTTTTTCTGAGGTCTTGGCGAATATCTTTTGATTTTCCCATGATATCAAGCAAAGAGGCACTGAGTTTGAAGGTAGGCCTTGAAATACATCCACAGGTACACCTCCAATTGACTCGAATGATGTCATGGCTTTAGAAGCTTCTGATCGGCTAATTGACATCATTTGAGTCAATTGGAGGTGTACCTCTGGAATTTTCCAAGCTGTTTAAAGGCACAGTCAACTTAGTGTATATAAACTTCTGACCCACTGGAATTGTGATACATTAATTATAAGTGAAATAATCTGTCTGTAAACAATTGTTGGAAAAATTACTTGTGTCATGCACAAAGTAGATGTCCTAACTGACTTGCCAAAACTATAGTTTGTTAACAAGAAATTTGTGGAATGGTTGAAAAACAACTTTTAATGACTCCAACCTAAGTGTATGTAAACTTCCGACTTCAAACTGTATATTGTATGTGTAAATAAGTGATGATGAGTAGCTATTTCTCTACCTGTAAACATACAGTATTTTAATGCATTTTTCTCTCTCCTCAGTTCACAGCGTCATCCTGGTTGGCAAACTATAGTTTATTATGTCAGCCTGTGGACTACAGCACCAGCCCACTGGCAATGCGGGTAACTCATATCATCCACTGCAATGCCTTGCAATTGCCTTAATGTACATATACTGTATGTCAATTATTTCTAACCTAAAACTACTGCTGAAATGTATCTTCTTTGTGTTCTGAACAGATGGCAAAGGTCTGTTGGTGGTTTTACTTCTCCAAAGTCATCGAGCTCAGTGATACTGTAAGTACACTTCGGGGATTCTACTATCCCAGGTTGAAACAAAAACTGTGTAAGCAGCACCACTTGGGCTATTATTACATCTCTTCTATCAAGACATCTATTATGTGCTGTCTTCTGTCTATGTGACTGTGGCTAATTGTGTTTCTTGTCATATTCTTGTATATCTGTCATGTTTGATAAATAAATAAAATATGACACGTCTCTTACAGCTTTTCTTCATCCTGAGGAAGAAGAACAGTCAGCTGACGTTCCTGCATGTCTACCACCACGGCACCATGATCTTCAACTGGTGGGCTGGGGTCAAGTACGTGGCAGGAGGCCAGTGTAAGTGTTGTCATATTCACATTACTACAGCAGGGATGGTGTTTCATTTACCCGGTGTTAGACCCTGACAATTCTCTCCTGTATGTGGCACAGCGGTCTCCCGAGTGGCGCAGCGGTCTAAGGCACTGCATCTCAGTGCTTGAGGTGTCACTACAGACCCCCTGGTTCGATTCCAGGCTGTATCACAACCGGCCGTAATTGGGAGTCCCGTAGGGCGGCGCACAATTGGCCCAGCGTCGTCCCGGTTTCGAACGGTGTAGGCCGTCATTGCAAATAAGAATTTGTTCTTAACTGACTTGCCTAGTTAAATAAAGGTAAAATAAAAAAAATAATACAAAATGTAACAGTATGGCACTGCACAATCTATTTCTTGTGTCTGCTTACTGCTCAGTCTTGGTTGAAAGAATGATTAGGCTATTCATACTTGTTCTGTAGGTGACATACAGTACACCCACCCACACACTGAAATGCACCTGACATTTCAATGAATCTGGAACACATGCCGTGATACCTACAGTGTCCTTGGAACTGTTTCACACCCCTGCTATTTGAAAAGGACATTTGCAGTGGTCAAAGCAGTGATCAAAATAGACCAGCCAGGAACAGAACGGCCAGGATTAAGACACGTTTTTGGCACTAAGATGCTCTATAATGTGTTTAAAATGGCGGTGAGTTTGCAGAAAACAGCTGGCGAAGCATTTTAGGGCAGCATTTGCCCTCCTTTTGGTTTAAAGATAGTCAACACAGCCTGGCTATTTATTTTCACATTGCACATACTAAGATGGGCAGATGGGTTGTTAGTTACACCTTGAGATAAAATAAAGGACGAATCATGACCTTGTTATTCAATCAAAGAACCCAGCTTTAGAAACAAGTTATAAACAACTGACCTTGTAATAAATGAAGAACTGCTATAAACATATCACTGAATGAATAGCCCATTCTCGGTGTGTATTGTGTGTTCTCCTCCCTCCAGCCTTCCTTATAGGCCTTATCAACTCATTGGTGCATGTGGTGATGTATCTATACTATGGGCTGGCAGCGCTGGGGCCTCACATGCAGCAATATCTGTGGTGGAAGCGCTACCTCACCTCCCTGCAACTGGTGAGTAGATTGGCCTTGATGCAGAGCATCTGTTACAGTATTGCTGCCTCCCAAATGGCACCCATACAGTACATTCTCTAGAGTCTAGATAATACACATTTACATTTACTTTACATCCTATAGGGGATTTTACCCTAAGATCCTCAAAGTGCTTTAAAACCCCTTTAATGTTAAGTCCCCTATATTACCGGTTCTGGACCGGTTCTGACTGACATTTTGGTGTACAAAGCGCTGTGAAAGTCGTAGGGTCCAGTTTCTTATAGTGCCAGAAGCCCCATTTGTCTGCTCTCCACTACCAAGTGTCAGGTTTCAGACCCAACATTTGCATAGGGAGTGACGTGTCACATGTTCTGGCCTATCCAGACAAAGAATAGATTTGCTCTCCCTCTGAGCAACTGAGCCCAGCCAGGGAGACATATTAAATGGGACAGTCTAGCGATTTCAGCAATCGTGGTTGCATCTCACTGATGTTCTCAGCTGGATTTAGAGCTCTCAACATGAAAACATTATAAATAATTTCATAGAATTGAAACACGACCACTTTCTTTTGGTCACAGAGGGACAAAATCACTTTGTGCGTAAAGCTGAAGTTGTAACGAGTCTGCAGCAATTCGAATGGCGTTGCTCAGAGGAGGGTTGGCAGAAAATGCTCTGTCTTCAGTTATATGAAATGGGGCCAAATATGTACTGTCACTAAATATGATCATATTTATGTTACAGTTATAAGAAATATTAAATCTTATAGTAAGTTGTTTATAATTTGATTTATTTAGAAAGCAATTCAGTCATTTCAAGCCCTATTCCCCCACTTTTGTTGAATATATTTTTTTAGTAAGTACACTTCAGCAATGTATAACTGCATTCTCATGAAAGATTATTACTTTTGTATATGTCTATTTTGGCGGAAATCTACATTTTGCATTATCAGCTGGAATCCTTAATTGAAACAATAACAAAGCTGTCTTCCCACCTGTGTTTTGGTAAAAAGCTGAGGGATGGGCCTGGAGAAATGTAACCACTCTCAAATTCAAAGCGAGAGCTATGTATGCAAGGACTGACCATCCATGATATAAAAATTATAGTTTTAACCTTGTTGAGGCTATAGAGTGTTTGTTTACATTTACTTTGTTTACAAACATTGGAGTTTAACAAGCGTACATTTTGGGTTCTGATGGGGTACGACAGTTGAACTAAGCTCATGGTGTGATGAGGTGGTGTTGAAGTAGTCAGGCGCAGGAGGGTAAATCACAGAATAACAGGCTTTAATCCGCAAAATACAGGTTTACGCAGAACTGCGTCAAACATACTCCAGGGCACAAAACAGGTGCACTGGAAAATACAAGGCACACAGGAAAATACTCCCGTCGAACAAAATACACGAGCTCCACAATAAACAATCACCTACAAGGACAAGGGGACAGAGAGAATACTTATACACAGATTAATTAGGGGATTAGAACCAGGTGTGTGTGATAACGACACAAGACAATGGTCGGCAGTGGTTAGTACTCCGGTGACGACGAACGCCGAAGCCTGCCCGAACAAGGAGGGGAGGCAGCCTCGGCCGAAGTCATGGACGTGAACTGGGGACATCGGTCGGACATGATATCCTCTGGCACCCCGTAGTGCTGGAAGACGTGAGTAAACAGGGCCTCCGCAGTCTGCAAGGCCATGGGGAGACCGGGCAGAGGAAGGAGGCGGCAGGACTTGGAGAAGCGGTCCACAACGACCAGGATGGTGGTGTTACCTTGGTAGAGGGGAAGATCAGTCAGAAAATCAATACCAAGATGAGACCATGGTCGTTGTGGAACTGGTAATGGTTGCAGCTTACCCGTTGGGAGGTGCCTAGGTGCCTTACTCTGGGCGCACACCGATCAGCAGGAGACGTACACTCTCACTTCCTTAGCCAAGGTAGGCCACCAGTACTTTCCGCTCAAGCAGCGCACTGTACGACCGATACCTGGGTGACCAGAGGAGGGTGACGTGTGTACCCAGAAGATCAGACAATCACGGATAAGAGCAGGCACGTACCGCAGCCCAGCTGGACACTGCGGTGGAAATGGATCTGTGCGTAATGCCTGCTCTATATCCGCGTCCATACTACCGGTGCCACAATGCTGGTGGCCGGGAGTATGGGGGTGTTGTCTCTGGGCCTCTCTTCTGTGTCATACAGCTGGGATAGTGCGTCTGCCTTCACGTTCTTCGTACCCGGAATGTATGATAGTGTAAAATCAAACCGGGTGAAGAATAGGGCCCACCTGGCCTGGAGAGGATTCAGCCTCCTCGCTGCCCGGATGTACTCCAGGTTACTGTGGTCTGTCCAGACGAGGAAAGGGTGTTTCGCCCCTTCGAGCCAATGCCTCCACACGTTCAAGACTCGGACAACAGCTAACAGCTCCCGATCACCAACGTCGTAGTTCTGCTCCGCCGGGCTGAGCTTCTTAGAGAAGAAGGCACAGGGGCGGAGCTTGGGTGGCGTACCCGAGCATTGAGACAGGACAGCTCCTATCCCAACCACGGACGCATCCACCTCCACTACGAACGGTAGTGATGAATCGGGGTGGGTCAGTACTGGGGCTGAGGTGAACAGACCCCGCAGTTTGCTGAAGGCCAGGTCAGCCTCAGCAGACCAGCGGAGCCGGTAAGGCCCACCCTTCAACAGGGAGGTAATGGGAGCTGCGACCTTGCCAAAGCCCCGGATAAACCTCCGATAGTAGTTGGCAAAGCCAAGGAAGCGCTGCACCTCCTTAACCGTGGTTGGAGTCGGCTAATTACGCATGGCTGAAATGCGATCTCCCTCCATCTCCACACCTGAGGTGGAAATGCATTATCCAAGGAAGGAGACGGACTGCTGGAAAAACATACACTTCTCTGCCTTAGCATAAAGGTCATTTTCCAACAGTCGGGCCAGCACCTTGCGAACAAGGGACACATGCTCGGCGCGCGTAGCGGAATACACCAGGATGTCATCGATGTAGACCACTACACCGCGACCAAGCATGTCCCGAAACACCTCGTTCACAAAGGATTGGAAAACTGAGGGAGCATTCATCAAACCATAGGGCATCACCAGGTATTCATAATGCCCCGTGGTTGTGCTGAATACTGTCTTCCACTCATCTCCCTCCCGGATACGCACCAGGTTGTACGCACTCCTGAGATCTAATTTGGTGAAGAAGCGCACTCCATGCATTGATTCAATCACCGAAGGAATGAGGGGGAGAGGATAACTAAATCTTATCGTCTCCCTGTTCAGTGGTCGATAATCAATGCACGGGCGCAGACCTCCATTCTTCTTCTTCACAAAGAAGAAACACGAGGAGGCGGGTGAAGTGGAGGGACGTATATACCCCTGGCGCAGGGACTCGGTGACATAGGTTTCCATAGCCACCGTTTCAGCCTGTGACAGGGGGTATATATGACTACTGGGAGGTACAGCGTCTACCTGGAGGTTTATCGCACAATCCCCCGCCCGATGAGGTGGTAATTTAGTCGCCTGCGTTTTAGAGAACGCTTGCGCCAGATCGAGGTAGTCAGGGGGAATGCGCACGGTGGGAGTACTGTCTGGACTTTCCACCGTGGTTGCACCAACGGAAACATCTAGATACCTACCCTGACACTCTCGCGACCACCCCGTGAGAGCCCTCTGCGGCCATGAGAAGGTGGGGTTGTGGAGTGCTATCCAAGGGATACCTAATACCACAGGGAAAGCAGGAGATTCAATAATCAAAAAAATAACCTGCTCAAAATGAGTCTCCTGGGTGATCATGTAGACTGGTATCGTGACTTCCGTAACAAACCCAGACCCTATTGGTCGACTATCGAGTGCTCTGATGGGGAGTGGAATGGATAGGGGAACCAATGTTATGCCTTGACGGCGTGCGAATGCCCTGTCCATAAAGTTCCCAGCTGCGCCTTAATCGACTAGCGCCTTACATTGGGGAACTACCATGAGATCAGGTAAGTGGATAGGTAGGGTACAGTGCGCAGCAGAGGGCTCTGAACAAGTGTGGGTGTTCGATACCTAGGGTGATGCGTGAGTGCCCTGCCTGCCGCCTCCCGGCCCAAAAGAACGTTGACTACGACGTGTAGTGTATAGTGTATTGGGCAGAGGGAACACTTATACACAGACTAATTAGGGGATTAGAACCAGGTGTGTGTGATAACGAGACAAGACAATTTTGATGATGATTGGGGCGGCAGTGGTTAGTACTCCGGTGACGACGAACGCCGAAGCCTGCCCGAACAAGGAGGGGAGGCAGCCTCGGCCGAAGTCGTGACACATGGGGCATGTATAAGTTATATTCTTCAAGAATCAATGGGTATATATAATTAATTTAAGTCAAAAAATGGATGTAGCAACTAAGGATTCTACCTTTAACCTTCAGTGTCATGTCAGGATGCAAGCTCATTAACTTGTGGTTGATCTGAGTGGTCAATGGAAGCCTTGTTAACATGGTTAGGTCTGGGACATAATGAACATTAGATCATCACTAACCCTACTAACCCTGAAGCCTTACTGGAAGACCCCAGTTAATAACTGTTGTGTGAAGACAATAGGATCATACTGTATGTACTGTATGAAGCTGCATCAGTGCTGAATACGTTAACTCTTTTTATGGGCTCTACAACTGTGTATTTTCAATGTGGTCACACTAGAAGCCGACAACTGAGCTTTCTTCTTATTGACACTGGTTATGTTGACCCTCTCTGTCTGTGACCCCAGCTCCAGTTCTTCATTGTGACCATCCACACCACCTACAACCTGTTCACTGACTGCGACTTCCCAGACTCCATGAACGCTGTGGTGTTTGCCTACTCCCTCAGCCTCATCACGCTCTTCAGAAACTTCTACTACCAGAGCTACCTCACCAAGAAGAGCAAACAGACATGAGACATGGATGTAGAGGCAATTGTTACTTATTTTATGTAATTGATAATGTATGTTTTTTAAATATTTATTGACCTATTTATTGACCCATCACATTTAAGTAAAGCAGGTCTCTATCCGCTGGACATAAGCCTCTGTTTGTTTCTGTTCCAGCCTCCCCTCTAACCATTAGGGTAACACACACACATACAGACACGTAGACACTCAGAGAGAGCGAACCCTCTCCTATTCCCTCCCATCCCCCCTTAGGTCATTAGGGATGAAGTCCCAGCTACGCTCTGGCGACTCTGCCAAATTGAAATAAACCTGAGCAGGCCTCCTTCTCTTCACTCCACTTATTTATCTCTCTCCGTGACACTTCATTTGTCTTAGGAGTCATTGGCTGGGAGGTTAGCCAATCGCAAGTCAGCTGGCAGTCTAAAACCGCACCCTGAGCCCCTCCTACTCCCTCCCTCCCTGCCTCTGTTCTGTGAGGAGTCCCAGTAACTCAGCTAGGTGAACCAAACGAGTGTGCTCGCATACTCCCTTAGAAGATTTTCGCTTGAAAAACAAGAAATAGCGGCAATAGTACTGTTTGTCCATCTTGAGACACTGTAGCCAGTATACACTTCCTCAAAATAGTCAGAATTAATCTAAGATAACTCAAGAAATCTGTGATTAATTTTGAAGTTTTTGTCAAAGATATCTTAGTCGCTAAGATGTTTGGTGCAATATTTCTCAAGTGATTTTTTTTCTTCATGAAAACCTGTCGTCTGTCGTTGTGAATGACAACAAACACTTGAAGAATCCCTACTGTTGACCCTTGCCGAAGACCAAAACGAACAAAAACGTCACACAATGTCTTTAGAACAGCCTGCGGATGCCTTTAGCTGTTCCTGTTTCCAATGTATATTTGAACCATTCAAGTGAGGATAACTCTGAGGGGGTTTCCATCTTATGTCACTACTTTATGACTTGTGAACAGTTAAGCCTGTTTTCATTACTGAAACTGATAAGCCTGTTTTCTATGAAAGTCGAGTGACAAGTAGTGTCTGTCCGTATAGTGTCACCAGTCACTGACTGTTCTAGTTTTCCATCCTGGGTGTGTAACTCTCGCTATTCATGGGTTCTGGAAAACGACGTAGCTTGTCTTGCAGTGCATGTGCTCAGTCTGTTGTGTTGAATTGCATGCCAGCTGTCTTTAAAAAAAGCTGTTCAACAACAATCACTAAGAGGTCAATCGTGCAGGCACTGTGACGTCTTTGTCACACGTGTCACAACCAAGGACAGTAGGGCTTTGTGGCCCCATGTAAAGTAGCCAGTTTGAAATGTCTCTGGTACACTCTCAGAAAAAAGGTGCTATCTAGAACCTAAAAGGTTATTCGGCTGTCCCCATATGAGAACCCTTTGAAGAACCCTTTTTTGTTCCAGGTAGAACCCTTTTGGGTTCCATGTAGAATCCTTTTTGTGTTCCATGTAGAACCCTTTCCACAGAGGGTTCTACATGCAACACTAGGGGGTACTACCTGGAACCAAAAGGGTTCTACTTGGAACCAAAAAGGTTTCTCCTTATAGGGACAGCCAAAGAACCCTTTTGGAACCCTTTTTTCTAATAGTGTAGAAACATCTGTGTAGAGTTACAGACCATATCCTGCTGGCGGGATGACCGCTGTTGTCCCCGCAAGTATGAGTGTCACATCTCATACCCTACAGCTTATTGCCAGATGCACATTTGGACACATTTGTCACTGGAATTAGCCTGCAGTATTGCTCTGGGGGAATGTGTCCTCTCGCAACGATTTCTGAGAGGAGCGATATATTGCTGTCTGTCTTCAATCCCAGCCATCCAACACCACATGCGCATGGCTGTGCTGATGTGTCTGAAAACAAACCCTTGAGTCTCCTTACTCCTAAGAGCACATTGTCTGTCTGTACATTGTGTTCACACAAATGCCAGATAAATAAATGATAGCCAGTATTTTCCACCACTCTCATTTAATCAAAGTTTGACACAGCCGACACTCCTCCTTGGCGCTCTAAGCCTGTCACATAATATCTGACAAGATATCCTCTTGGAACTTGTCTTTTAATGTGACTCGTCTGGGAGAATGCAGTGGTCTACAGCCACAGTGATTTACAGCAGAGGCCTCCCATCCTCAACGTTCATCCACTGACTGTCTTGTGCAATAAACAAGTGACAGGTTCCTGGGTGTGCAGTTAAATGTCACTTTCCCCGTGAGACAGGAGATGAAGGCATCCTTTAATGCCACTGTCACTTTAAGTATCGGAGGCTTCCTCTGCTGCTGCCGTTTGATAAGGGGAATTGAAAGCGGATGAAAGCACATTAATTTGTGGTGAGAGAGAGGTTGGAGGGAATGAGAATCTCTCCCCTAACTCCCCTCTGTTTCTTCCTTACCCTATTTCTCAATTTCTTTAGTTTAGAATGTCGTGGTTGTGGCTGATATTAAGGGATCCATCTTACCTTCAGTGGATGGTGCCAAATGGTTTGGGATTGAGCAAGGGGTCATTTGAATGACTTGTGTCCTGTCCTCAGCTACTCTATGCTGTTCTAGGTATACTGTAAAACACCCACATCCACACTTCCACATGAAAAAGGATCTGTTAGTTGTACAGTCTAAAAGCTTCAACTCTAATCAAGATGAGAACTCATGTTCACAAGTCTCTCTCACATCTAGACATGGCAACATTCTCTTCTAAAAATGACTCACAGATCAACAAAGGATCACCATGTGGCAGCGATGGGGAAAACAACCACTGATAGCAAGATAAAATGATGATGTAGAGGCACTTGTAAGTTAGTTTGGTAGTCTCCCCAGTAACACCAAGTAGCACACTGTAATTTGTAATCACTTAAAGTGGGGGTGAGCCCTCCGTAGCCGGGCCAGCCAGTAATCACAGAGTCAGTGAGAGGGGCTGGAGAACGAGCGGCTGATGATGGTGCTTGACGTGAGCGACTGGTTTCAGACAAAGAGGGTTAACAAGAGGGAGAGCAATCTCAGCTAGTGCTTTCATTTCAGCCTCTTGTTTCAGCCAGTCAACCAGCTAGCACTCGTAAAGGGGTCAGTACAGGGCATAAGGTATGTATGAGAGTTCTGAAGAGTTCATGCAGACATGGAAGGAAAGGATGGGAAACTGTTTTGTTGAAACAAGAGTTTATCATTTGGTTCCTAATGGAAGCGGCCTAACGTGTGTGGATATCCCTACACACGCGCACACACACACACACACACACACACACACACACACACACACACACACACACACACACACACACACACACACACACACACAAACCTAACCTTAACCCTAACCCTAACTCTAATTCTACCTCTTAACCCTAAACCCCCTAGAAATAGCATTTGACCTTGTGGGGACCAACAAAATGTCCCCAGTTTTTGTTTCCAAGTAGAACCATTTGGGGTTCCATGTAGGACCCTCTGTGGAAAGGGTTCTACATGGAACTCAAAAGGGTTCTACCGGGAACCAAAAATGGTTCTTCAAATAGTTATCCTATGGGACAGCCGAAGAACCCTTTTAGGTTCTAGATAGCACCTTTTTTTCTAAGAGTGCAGAATAAATCATCTGGTAAGAATGGACACTTTCATCAGGAAACATGAAAACTGTATCAACATTTGTGTTAATACACTCTGTAGCTGCCAGGCTGTACCTTTTATGGGTGTCTGATGAACAATACAAAATGGCTGCCAAAGGGCTACAAAGGCTCCTGGTCTAGCATCTTGTTTACCCCTTGTAAAACCCTCATAGAAGAGTGAGACTAATAACCTTCAGCCACCATCAGTCTCCAGCGGCCTAATATCTGGTTTGAACAGGAATCTAGCCTGCACTGAATGGATGGTTTGTCTGTGACTGATGTTCTCTAGCTCTCTGGTCTCATATAGAGATGAATTGACCTTTATCAGTAGTGCTCTAATGCACCACACCGCCTGGCCTCCCTCTGTGTTCAAATTGTAATCAGCAGCTGTGCTGTCAGGTTCAATTCCAATGTGCAGACAGCCCACCTGTCACATACACTCCCACACATATACAGACTCACACACACAGACATAGCAAACACGCACACACAACACACGCACACACACACACACACTCATTGTTTTAAAGGGGTCCCTTATGTACCCTGTAGTCTTAGTGAATCACCGTAAGATGGACACAGCTACTTTGTGGTTTATTGTCACACCAACTGTGATGCAGAGCCTCACACCACAGACACAGTGGGCCCTATTTGATATAAACACTTCATTTGGTTCAAATATTCTTCAAATGCATCTCGTTACTGCCCTCTAGTGAGATCAGAGGCCATACCAAGCTCATTTGAATTGGTCTAGTGGTCTATACCTGCTTATAAACTAGTCCTATAAACTCACCCATAACATTGTGATTGTACATAAAAATTCTTCTTTTACAACATATTCTCTGTGTCCTTCCTTACAAGGTCAGTCCAAAGGCTTGATAGCCTCACATGACATCTCTAGAGCACTAAGTGTGTGTGTGTGTGTGTGTGTGTGTGTGTGTGTGTGTGTGTGTGTGTGTGTGTGTGTGTGTGTGTGTGTGTGTGTGTGTGTGTGTGTGTGTGTGTGTGTGTGTGTGTGTGTGTGTGTGTGTGTGTGTGTGTGTGTGTGTGTGTGTGTGTGTGTGTGTGTGTGTGTGTGTGTGTGTGTGTGTGTGTGTGTGTGTGTGTGTGTGTGTGTGCCGTGCCTGGTCCCAGTGACCTTCACTTCATTTTCAGTGGGATCACACAGAGTCAGTTAGTTGGGGTCGCTGTCCCTCTTATGTGTGATAGATCTGAGAAAACATTAGTTTTGATTGGACCTCTGAAATAAGCACTTATATTTCCACTATCCAGTAACCATCTAACCATCAACTTATCGGTTGATTACTTGGTAATGTGAATAAAGTAATACTAAGAATAGATATAAGGATTTCATTAATGGACAGAGAAACTGGCTGTAAGTTCCTACTTGCACTTACCTTTTGCAAATTTT